CGGAAGTCGGCGAGCTCGTCGCCTTGAATGGAAATGAGTTGCCTCAAGTTTGATTCCTCCGAGACACCTTGATTGATATCATCAACCAGGTTGAGATTGCCCAATTTAGCATTGATTCGCATCGTCTTGCCCAGCAGGAAGACTCCAACATCGGCATGGTTGAAAGACAGGGTTGCTAGGCGAATCCCATCGTTATTCAGGATCAGACGGATACTCTTCAGGTCGACCTTGACTCTAATGGAGCCTGCGTTCGCAGGCCCGTCCTCGGGAGGAGCATCAACAGCAATCTCGACACCTTCGTCATCGTCCTCCGAATCGGAGATGGCTTTTTGTTCTTGAGGTGCCGCTGCCTCGTTGTTATTTCCGGTAAAAGTTGCCAGAATGAAGTCAAGCAAGGTTAGGAGCGTCTTCCTCGTGACGATGAGGTTGATGGTTGATATTGCTGCGGTGACATTCGTTTCCACACCTTCGTAAACAGGCATGAACTCTGGAGAGAGCCGATTGACCTTGGTGAACTTGACGCTGACAAGGCTACGATTCTGCTCTCGATCCTCGACATCTCCAGATGAAACGATGGACTTGAACTCCGCGGGAGGGTTGTCAACGAAGTCGTCCATGATGACGGAACCAAGCGAGACCTCCGCAGACATGTCATAGGGACGTAGATAGAAGAGAAGGTCAAAGTTCTCAGCAACAAGCTCGACAAGAAGCTGATCAGGCTTCTTCCTGTCAGGGTCGCTTCGGTATAGAGATCCCTTCAGGGTGTCGACCTTGAACTTGAGCTCAAAAGAACGCTGTTGGAGCTTAAGCTGTTCCTTGTTGCTCCTACCACCGTCGTCGGCATCCTCAAACTGGTCCTGATCGTCTTCATCTTCGTCAATCACGATGGCAGTTTGTTGCTGCATAAATGGGAATTGAGAAGACTTCCGGCGGCTATTAGTGTCCTTGCGAGAGCGCGATCGGTTAGAGGCGGTGCTCAGGCCACGCGGACGAGTTGTCACTGCCTGGCCCTGGGAGTCCTTGATCTGCGCCTGCTGCAGCTCTTGATTGCCGAACTTGGGGATGGCAACGTCGATGATCCGCATCAGATTCTTGTACTTGGAATCTGATATGGTTGCGTGGAGCATGGGGAGGTGGCCAGAGACCTTCAGTTTGGTCAGGTTTGGCGCCTTGGGGAGAATCGAAGTCTCAACCACAAAGTCGACATTGATCTCTTCGACCACGTGTAAGTGTTGTGTGTCGTCCTTGTTCGATATTTGAGCCTTCGTCGCCTCGATCGAGGGACCAATCAGCACCTGCGTGGAGGAGAGCTTGACCAAGAATTTGTCGTACATGACAGACTCTAAGCGCTTGAAGTCTTCGTCAGTGTAAGATTGGCGTTGTTTTGACTGAATTTGTTTCATCGTATCCTGGTCAACCAGCTCGCTGTTAACGCTGATGTGACCAGCATCCAAAATGAGACAAGTAGATTCTTTAACGTTGATGCTGACCGGTACGATAATCAGCGGGGCCTGCAGGTCGAGCTGGGCGTTGATGGTCTTGTGTTCCTCGAGAGCGAATTCCAGACCAGCTCGCGTTTGTTCTCGGAAGGTCTCTACGGTGGCGCCGGCTGTTTCCATCAGTGCCGTGATGGACTCCATGTGTCGTTCTGGTGGTCTAAAGAAATCCGCCACGCCTACAACGAAGTTTGGATTCCAGACGATCTCGAGTGGCTTGAGGGATCCGCTGAGAGCAATGTCTCCTTCGCGGTCGATGGGATTTTGTTCGACCTCGAAGCGGAAGAAAGGTTCATCATCGTTGTCCTCGAGCTCTTCGATGGTCAGGCGTTTTTGGTCGTGGATCTCGGGGGCGTCCTTGACTCTGACAATCTCGGGGAAAAGCGAGTCTGGCGTGGTGCCATCATTGACACGAAGTCCGCCCAGACTGAGATCAGCCAGAAAGGAATCAGGACGCTGCAGCACCTTGGCTTTAAAGACATCAAAGTGCAGACTCAGCAGATCACTCCGCTTGCCATTGTGGCTCTTCTTCAGCGTGAAACTGCCGGTGCTCAGCCATGCCTCAACTTGCATTTTGACAGAGTCCCGAGGAACATCGACTGACTCTGCCAAGGCAGTTTTCTCGTCAAACTCGATGGCATCGTAGAGCTCTTTGCGCTGCTCCTCGGTGATTTGCGTGTTCTCGTCGTCCTCAGCATGGTGTTCCTGCTGCTTCTGGCCACTGCCCCAGGCCCATGCCAGCCAGCCCTGTTGCTCCTGTTTAGGGGGCTGGTTCTTCAGGGCAGCAGCATTCTCCTTCTTAAGTTGGTTTCGCGCCAGAGATCGCCAGAACCGCAGATCCTCGTAATCAAGTTTGATTTCGAGTTTGTTGATGTCGTCATTCTCTTGGGAGCTGAGCTGTTGCTGTTGCTTGCGCTTCTTGAAGAGTTCGATGTAGCGCTGGCGGTCATCACGTCGTTCTTTGAAGTATTCCCATGACCATCTACGGTTCTTCTCATGGATCTTGCTGAGCACTGAGTCACCAGCGAACTTGAGCCACGCCCTAGGGTCTTCCTTGGGCGTGACACCTTTGGGCTGGAATTTCTTGTACTCTTGGTGGCGGATGAAGTAGTGGAAGAGATCAACCATCATCAAGCCATCACGGTACTGGTCGTCATCGATTACGAGACCAATCTCTTCGAAGAGCAGACTGGCCTTGGCCTTGGGAGCATGGACATCCCCCGTCTTGTCGAGGACAATCTTTGCTTTTCCGTTGACGGGTCGCAGGATGAACTGGTGGTTGAGGCCTGTGTCCTCGGTCGATCCTATCAGACTCTTGAACTTGTCAACCATCTCATCATGCGGCATCGGTGGCTTGTCACCGGTATCGACCTCTCGGCCCGGGCCCAGCAGCTCTGTATCTGTGTTCCAGTAGACGGCGAGGGCGCCAAGGGTTGCAAGCTTGTGAGTGCTCTTGGTCGAGTCCTGAACAAAGGTGGGCTTCCACTGGCCGTCAGTGCTGACAGCGCTGAACTCCTCGAGAGTCACACCAAGGGCGAAGGGGTGGCCGGGAGCGGAAATGGAGTCCTCATATCGGACGTGGATGTTCTTGACGGTGACTTGCAAGTTGTCGACAATCTTGGTGACGAGACTCTGTGTAAATGTCTGGCTCTTTTTCTGCTCCTCCTGGCTCATGCCCTCCTGAGACCTCTCCTTGAGAAGCTCGGCAGAATCCAGTTTCTCCATCTTGATTCTCTGCTTCCTACGCTCTTCCTCTTGCTCGTCATAAGCAGCCTCTTCCCGAGGGGAGGCTAGCAGGAAAACATCCTCGATGAAGACCTTGACGGGCGCGCCACGCAAGTTGGACCATGGGATGATGAGAGTGAGCTCGCCAAGATGGCCTTCCATGACATTGATGGGAAGCTTCAACTGATCGAGGGCTTCCCTCCGAAGCTCGAGATTCCGTAGCTTGACATCGCCAGACCAGATTCCGACCTTGAGCTGTGCTGGATCGAAATTCTTGACGTACATGCCCAGAAACCTATTGAGCAGGCCGGCAACGAGTCCCTCCAACATCTTGTCTGTATGTGGCGCCTTGACCCTGGCGAGGGAGGGTCAGGTTGGTGTTCTATGGTGTATCGGTGGTGAGAAGCATGGGAAGGGAGAGACTCGGAAAGTCGGAGAGCTCGATCACGACGGGCAGGGCGTACGGGTCAGATCAGTACGCGGAGGGGCTCTGCCAACATCAGTGGGCGCGCGCTGTAGGATGGTGTCGGATGTGGGGTCGTGATGGCTGGTTCGTCTCTTACGTGTCGTTACTTTTCGTCGTAGGTGTAGGTAATACAAAAGCTGGTGATGGGTATTTTTTTGGGGGGTATCGAAGGGTGGAATTAGTTTTCTCGGATGGCGTCGTACCGTCGGGCGTGTCTCCGGGGCTGAGATGGGTTGGCGACTACCTAGGTAAGGTAAGGTAAGGTCAGGTCCCTAGGGCAAGGTAGGTATGGGAAAGAAAGTGCCGCGATGCAGAATTGCCCAAAAGTCAATCTTTGCCAGGTCGAGTTTTGACAGATTGCAAAGCCGTCTGTCTGCGTTGTCGATATTGAGCTGGCGGTGGTGCTTGGTGCTGGGGGGTGGCGTTGGCAGGGTTGATTTGGTCACAGTGTTGGGGTCTGGACTGACGGGACGGGGTGGATTTGTGCTGCGTGCATGATGACGCTGCCTGATTGTTGAAGTGCGTGGTTCTTTCCCCCGCACCAGTGCCAAAAAAGAAAAGAAAAGAAAAAAAAGAGAGGCCAACAGCTCGGCTCAGACTGTGGCTGCCTCCTGCCAGCTCCTCCTACCTAGCTAGGTACGAAGTACTCCCACGAGCACCTTACCTGCTCTTGCCCCGACTGGACCGTCACGGACGCCGTAGTGGATCCCAGTGGATCCGTTGAGCCACGGTTGGGTGGGTCTACCGACTACCTACATCATGGCCCAATTTGGTAAGGTGCCCAGAAAGGTACTCTATCCGCACGTACGTAGTAGTGTACTCTGTACTTGAATCATCATCAGAAAGGAACGAGGTCGTGGACATTGGTCAGGCGTGGCAGGCGTGGCATACAAGTGACAACTGCGCTTCTGTTCGCGTTTCCAAGTTGATCCTTATTTAATGTATCGGTATGGATTACACTACCAGGATACTTTTGTTTATTATCATGGTGCACTTGCGAAGGTGAAGAGCATGAACAGCTTCCACGTGCCTCCCTCCCCCTTTTCAGTATGAGAAAGGAACTACGTAAAGTAAGGTACCTACCTACCTTATTCATAGGTCAGTAGGTACCAAAAAAGGCGTGGCATCACATCGGCACAGACGGGAGAGAAGCTTGGGCCACTCTCGCCTACCACAGTAGCGGTACGTACTCCATAAGGTACCCCACTCAGCTGCTGGTTCGTCCAATGCGGAGCCTCTGGCCCGGGCGTAGACATGGGAGAGGTCTTCACATTACGTCACCAGCCGGCAGCTGAAGCTCTGGCAACCTCGATGGCCTGGCTGCGATCTGATGGCCATGCAAATGCGAGCAATGAGTACGGAGTGCAGCCGCGTGCCGGTGTCTCTGTGCCTTGGTATTCTAGTTCCAGTTCCAGTTCTAGACCCCAGCCTTACATCAACTTGAGGCAATAGAATAGTTCAACTGGTCCTCTCGAGCGACACCAAAAAGGGGGGCCTTCAAGACACTCGGCCGAACTCTCCTCTTGCTTCTTCAACAACAACTTCCCACAAACATTGATACCGCCAGCTCCATCGCGACCTCGATCCATTCAATTCGATTCAATTCATACTGTACAATCAGACTACACCTTTCAATTGTCCAAAATAATACCAATCTTACAATCCTTGTACACAGGGAAGCTCCAGAAGGCAAACACCAAGGCTCCCTCACGATGCTTCGCTCTTCGCGCCAACTCGTGCGGCTCGCTCCGCGCAAAGTCGCAACTCCCTCAACAGTCTCTTCAACGTCCTTCTCCACGAGAGCTCCGTCGACTTCTCTTCACACCCCCAGACGACCTGCTTCGGCCCTCCAGGCTCGTCTGGCTCCCCTGTCCCTCCAAGCACGATACACAAATTCGCCCTACGACAAGATCGACAAGAAGGCCGAGGCTGAGATTGCGAAAAAGAAGCTCGAGTCTCATCCTGAAGAGGTTTCGACCGAGTCGTCTAGAATCCACCTATTTGAGCCGGAACCCGCCAAAACACAAAAGGAAGAGGACCTCACCGGAGGACTAAAGAAGGAGTTGGTAAGTCTGCACCACCTTATCCCGCCCCCACCTACAATACAGCACACTAGTTGACACACTGCCGGTAGAACATTGTCAAGGACACCTTCAATCTTAGCGAAGTGCCAAGGGAGCCCTACTTGCTCGGTCTTGCAGGCACTCTTCCCTACCTCGCAACATCCCTAAGCACAGTCTATCTGAGCTGGGACCTGAACCTCGAATGGCCCTCTACGTCGACCTTTGCAAACCATATTTATATGAACCATGAGTCAGCACAATACTGGCTGAGCCTTCTCGAGCCCATCCAGCTCGGATACGGCGCCATCATCGTCTCCTTCCTCGGAGCAGTCCATTGGGTAAGCAGCATCCACGTCAACTGCGATCAGGTGACTGGGCTAATACTACTGTAGGGCATGGAGTACGCCGAGAAGACGCCCCATCCCACCCGAACAAAGTTCCGCTACGGCATGGGTGTCGTCGCGCCTATGATTGCCTGGCCCTCCCTTCTCATGCCCGTCGAATATGCCCTTACCTCACAATTCGCCGCCTTCACCTTCCTCTACCTCGCCGACACCCGAGCCAAGAACAAGGGCTGGACCCCTCAGTGGTATGGAATCTACCGTTTCGTTCTGACTGCCATTGTCGGAGTTTCCATCTTCGTCAGCTTGGTTGGTCGCACCAAGATCGGTAATGCGCAACCCCACATCGGCGAGGGTCTAGCCGAGAGCATGCACTTGGGCAAGACCGACACCAGCAAGGATTGGGCTAAGCTTGAAGAGGAGGAGAGGAAGAAGCAAAAGAAGGAGAAGGAGGAGGCCGAGAAGAAGAAGAAGGAGGAAGAGAAGAAGCAAAAGGAGGAGGAGAAGAAGAACGCCAAGAAGGGCGACTCCAAGAGCAAGACCAAGAAGGACGACAAGAAGGACACCGGTGCCAACAAGAAGGACGACTCCGAGGAGGAGGAGGGGGCGGAGGAGGAGAAGGAGAAGAAGGAAGATGAGGACAACAACAAGGGTGAATCCAAGGATGAAAAGTCCGAGGATGATTCCAAGGACGCTTCTAAGGATGACTCCGAGAATGAGGGTAAGGACGAGTCCAAGGAAAAGTCCAAGTCCAAGGACGTGGGCAAGGAGAAGGAGAAGAAGGAGTAAAGGCTTTCTAAGGCTGATTCCTATAGACGTCTGGAATCCCCGCGACTCATCATTTCCTAAGTACTATAGCTGTATTTGCGCGGTGTAAGGGCATTGCGAGCCATATTGAACGGACAAGGCGTTTGAGGCATTACGTTTATACTGTTCTAGCAAACACTATATTCAAGCAAGCTATACATTATTCAAGTAAGACATGTGCATCTGCTTCGACGCATTGGATTGTCTGGAATAGCCATTGCCACTATTCTATGCTTCGATTCATGCCATAACCTGGACGTCTTCTCACCAAAGTACTGCTCTATAGACCCGTGCAACTTGATCACGCACCGACTTCAACCCACATTGCCAACGGCCATGTCATCTCTACCTCCTACCTCCTACAAAAGTACTCAGCCGTGCCAGGCCCCTCCTCTACTATCTCACAAAGGCCATGCAACTCGCTGAGCAAATCTCGAACCCCCACATGGCGGGATCTCACCCTCTTCAACCAAGACCAGTAGCTGTAGGCGAGGCCGAGCGAGCTGCACACATTTACCCGCACATGCCCAAACCTCGCAAGCCTACGTCCCTCTCTCCATTTTTGGCGTCTGTCCTCTCATCGTGGAGAAATTTGACGCGCGACTGAACGTATCCTCCTCCTTCGGATTCGAAACGGCGACAAGACCTCCTGGCGGCAGAAGCGTGCCTGAGCACACTACCGGACATTCCCCCCTCGCAAAATACGCAGAACTGTGATGAGAAGGGAGATGGCTAGCGCTTGGGATTACATAGGTAGTTCTTGGATGTAAAGAGTACGAAGATTCCCATTCAAAAGTCGAATTAATAATACCGAGGGATCATAGCAAGAAAAGCCCGAGGCAGATTCGAGAAACCATCCCGTCCCGTCCCTCCCGAACGGCACCGGCGGTCCCGCAGCAACCCCCCCCCCCCACTTCCCCGCCCGACGGGCCCCTCCCAAGTCCGTCCAAGATCCCGTCCGATCCGCCCGATCGATGGCCGCCGGGCCTTTTAATCATTGACTGAACAAAACAAGTTGCATGAACTCTCCCGGCCGAACTACCCGAATCAACGCGTAGAAATCAGGTTGAAGCAACAAGACCGCGAGTCCTTTTTTTTTTTTCTCCCTTGGCATCACCTGCCGTCTTGTCATTTGCATCCTACCTTAGATCCCGCAATGACCTCACTCTTTTTGCAGTCTTGGACCCCGCCAGACCGTTTTTTGCAACATGCCGCGGTCCGTTTCCTGGCGTCCCTGAACCATGTTGCATGTAGATCCAGGCACAAGACCTTGATTCCACGGAAGAGTTTGTAGGCGTTTCAATCATATTCAGGGCAAGCGGCATACGGCCTCGGCAACAGTACTGTACAGCACGGTTCACCCATTTCCCCTGTGGCGAATTAAGGCGAGCTCAACAGACGTGCAAGAACGCATAATCCAAGGCGGAAGAGGTCCGAGTGAGAGGAGGGGGGGGGACAGCATTACCCGGGGTTACTTTTTCCCTCTTCTTCGCACTCCGTTTTCGCAGCATTCTTCATCACGCTTTAAGGCCGTTTTACGATCCCGCGAGGATTCAACAGGGCGTGACTTGAACCCGAGAAGTCTTTCAAAAAGGTATGGAAAAAAGCCGTCTTTCAACACGAGACTGATAGTTTACGCCGGACTCTTACTTGATCAGCATCAGCATCAGCACCAAACAGCACCCCCTCACCATCACGAGACGCATTTTAGAAGAATAATCACTCCCCAAACTCTCTACCTGTTGTAATACACCGCCCCACGCTATAATGAATCCCAATCCGAAATAGACAGACATGAATATTTCTACAAGTTCCTCGCTGCACAACACGATTCAGCAACCCCTAAAGATCATCGTCGGTGACGTATTTGGGGGGGGGGGGGTGGTGGTTAGCAAAAGAGAACGTCACCCACGCACCCACGTCAGGACTCAGGCACGGAAGTCTTCCGCAAGCAATTGGGTTCGGCGGACGGCCACATGGCAAACTCCCCAAAAGAGCCTTTTCTTCTCAAGAGTGAAGTGCCTTGATTTAAAGTGATTTGCGTAAGGGGGAGCGACACAACGCAACGTAACTCTGTCGTAGGGCTCGTTCTAGCTTTGCAGTCTCTCTCTGTATCCGTAGGTTCTCACCAATAAACTACGCCCCAATGGCACCTTGACTCCTGAGAAACCGTTTAAACTCTCCCAGGATTCCGGGTTCTGTACATTCCGCTGCATTCGACTGACACGGTTCCAGTGCTCTGTCACTGTCCATGAGGTCAGGTAAGGTAGGTAGGTATTCCAATAGATCTCAGGTAGCTTACCGTTTTCTCTCCCCTCATGAATCAGTCTGGTGTGTTGAATTCTTCTTCCTCGCTGATGTCATTGCCCGCCACGCCGCTCGGCTTTTTCCCCCCAGGGTTCCCGCGTGAAAGGAGCTGTCAAACCCTTCTACAAACCCCTGAAAACGTCGCGTCCGAAGCGGACACGATGTTGTCACTGCTTGTTGCCCCCTCCCCCGCCGCTGCCCCCAAGATAACGGTACCTCGTTAAGTTACTGCTAGACAAGGGCCAAAATGGCGGCACAGCAAGAGTAAGTAGTGTATCCGCAGTCGGCGCAGTGTAATGGTGACAATGTGCTGTGTGCGCGCGCGGGGTTGGTCCCTCCCAAGCAAGAAACCCAACCAGCCGGCAAGGATAAGAAGAGGAAGACGAAGAAACCCCCCCCCCCCCCTCTTATGCCCCTCCATCGACCCTTGACGTCATCGCCACGACACCAGACCTCGCGCCGCATCTCACTTGATGAACGAAATGGAGAATTCTTGTCGCGATTTCCATGGATTCCATGATCCCATCCCGTGGCGAAACCTGTCAGTTGGGTTTGCATGGCACTCTGTTATGCTCACCGTCTTTGTGTGCTCTGTGGAACACCCTCCCCACCACCCATGAAGTAGATTCTCACTCGCCGACGGTTTGCTTCATCTGATGATTCCGTTTACCACGGTTCGGTCTGCTTGACAACCACACATCTATCAAATTCGACGGTCCGGTGCGGTGTGCATGCGGTATCGGAACTTGAGGGTGTGTGTCTCCTGGGTGTTCTGCCACCATGTGGTTCTAATCCCATCGCATCGGCCCAAAAGACAAAGGGGGCATGAACACCATCCACACCTCCATGATCCCATCGCCAAACTTGCGACGACTCGCGCATTTCAACTCGTCGGTACCTCATTGGTTTCCCAACCCCGGAGCTTCTCCGCCGATGGCAAGAAGAATACTAATCTGACGGGAAGGCAAAAATTTTGCCCCAGGCCTTATTTTTTCGGTCATACACCAGCACATTGTTTCCTTTGCACATGTTTCACCCGCAGCGATTCGGTCTCTAGACCGTTGAGCCTTCTTGGTCAATGATGTACGCTGCAAGCCTGCAAAAGAGAGACTTGTGAGCGGAGCCGCCAACGCTTTCTTCGTGTTTTCCTCGGTGGTATGTAGATCTTTGGCGATACCTGGCTTGCGGGTACATTTCCCCCGAAGCATATGGGATCGCCGCCGCCGCAGCCACCATGCGAAAAATACCCCGAGGGCGATATTCTCACCAAAGTACCGAAATCCTTTTGTAAACCCACCGTTTGGAAAAGGAAAAAAAAAAATATGCGGAGATGGCTGTATCGCCGCCGCGCCGTCGGCGGGTATCGTGCATAAAACACACATCACCAATCATGTTTCTGGGTGAAGTGAGCATCAAACATCCAAACCTTCAGGAATATCTATCTACTCTACCCTACCTAAGTCCACGCATAACGGAGAGCGAAACAAGTCACATGGCATTTGCCGGCCGGCAAAGCGCCTGTCATGCGGCGTGCCACAACTGGACAAAGGAAGCCCCCTTGGCCGGCACTTCGAACCCAATCACTCCTCACGGCACCGGTCGCTGTCATCTAGGTACACTACTGGATATCTATATGTGTTTGCAGCAAGGCTCTGGTCCTCGTGACTGCTGCCTTGTTGGGCTCTGGAATCCCCTGATCCCCGCCTCTTCACCGAGGATTGGTCGAACAGGAGCGGAAGCTGGGTATTCCAACTATGATACCTATGGGTGGTGATAACCCCCCCCGATAAGCCGCAAATCGAGATCTTCCATCGCTTGACACTTTTTTGACATGTGGTGACTCTTCTGCCCCGGCGGCCATCTCCACATGGCGGGCCTCACCGACCGTTTTCCGTGCGTCTGGCGCGGCCCGTAACCCCCAAAACGAGAGAGATAGAGAGAGAGAGAGAAAAGCGGCCACTTTGCCGATACTCGAAGCCAGCGAAGCAAAGTTGGCACAATCCCTGGGACGTGCAGTAAACAACGTGTGTAGGTATAACCTACCTACACGGCATGCGGTGAAGATCAGAGTTCTTCTCTGAGGATTCTAGCTTTTCTGCAGCGTGCCAAGCGAGACTCCGGGATACAAGACGAGATACAGTTGGTCGATCAAGCCCTTTCTCGAAACGCCGAGCCTTTTGCTCCCGTGAGCCGGTCCCAAGAAACGCCAAGGTATCGCCGTTGCCGGACTTGGTCCGAGGATGAGGATAAGGATGTTGACTGTTGGTGCGTTTGAATGTGGCCTCAAAAAGCTTTTTCGTTGTCGCCGGAAGGACGGTTGGGCGACATGATGAACTCTGCCATGACCGCTACTGGGACTCGAGCTCGAGTCGGAGACGTCTGTTGATCCCGCGAGAACTGATTCAGGCCGTTTCATACGGCCTGGTGCAAGTGTGAGTGAATGAGTCGGTGCTCTTCGTCTATGCCCGAGTCGGTCGGTGTACGTATCCCCCCATTGTCGCGTGGAATTCGGTGACTTGAGACGACATCCTGTACGTGTTTGAACCGTAAATATTCTCAAAGAAGACTAATCCTGCGCACTTGGGGTTTAGTTCTCTCCTCGGATACGGTAGGACTCTTTCGAAGGCCAACGGAACCCGTAACGGAGGGTGTATGGATGACCGGCCGGCCGGACGGTCAGCGGTCTGGAGTTCTCAGTCCTGTACGGATACCTAGATATTATCCATCTTCCGTAGCATCTTTGGGAATGTTGTTCGGGCAGACGCGGACCAGGCGGTAAAATGGCGCCGAAGCACACCGAAGCACACCCCCCTCCACCACGCTCCTGGCGGATTACCTACCTATCCTTCTCCAGGTTCGCTGCGAGTTTCCATCCTCCCGTGGCCTCGGCGCGCCCCTCCCTCCCCTCTCTCTTTACACGCGGGGTACCCAGCGATCGCCCGGCCGCAAAGGACCCTGATGCACCGAGCCCGCTGTAACCCGACTTACATTCCGTAGATAGGCAGGGACGCACAACGTGCCTCTACGGATGACATCTGGTCAGCATCAGCCACAGACGAGGTTCCATACATGATACGACGGGATCAATGCCTGTGCCGCCATTTGGAGCAAGTCCAGGAGGGTAAAACACACGTCTTTGCTGGTGGAAAAGTCGGGGTACTGCTGACGGGAAGCATTGTGGCACAGGCAAGTATCAGCAACCCCCCCCCCCCTCCCCCTTTTGAGCGGCCCAACCAACAACACAACCTAGCTCCAGTAGGAGAAAGTGCCATGTCGTGCGTCTTCGGTCCCTCGATCTGGGCTCCGCACTGGCGGGAGATGCGGCTACGGGATGGGTGGGTGGGAAGCGGGTGACTGGCCGGAAAGTCACGAGGCTTTGGTTCGCCGGACCGTTGACGAGTCCAGGTGAGCACGCCGTGATATTGTCGCCATGTCCGCCCGTGACCGGTTTGGGCAGGAGGACACGGCAAACATCGTGGTGGGATGCCATGTCAAACGGTCCGGCGGCTACACATGCTCTTCCTTGTCCGTATGAGTGTGAGGGGGGAAGAGGGGGAGGGGTCATTGGTCAAAGGCGACATCCCAATATCTGGCATCTGACAGACCACTTGAGTATGTATGCCTACCTAGTACTTTGGTGATGAGTCGTAAAATTGGGGGTTCATGGCACTTTGGGGATCCGACGAGGCCAAAGAGGACACCGAAGGCCAGCGCGGAAAACGTGGATTAAAGAAGACAAGGATGACTACGATGCCACTCTTCAGTTGGCGTGCTCTTGTTCATCCCTTGTTGTACCACATCCCGCGCCCAACGCGAAGACGAGATTCTAAAGTCTACATCGTTTCCTCAACGCAGCCCATTTGTCGGGCTTGCGATGGGGTTACACGCGAGTGACAGGTACGAGATGTAGGTAGGTAGTGTGCGTGTGTCTGCCATGAGGAGGGCTCAGCTACTCCGTACAGAAACAACAAAAAGTAAGCCCGACTCATCCTCCGTGGTGGCCTGGAAGCCGGGCAGACGACCCAATGGAGGGGTTCCAAATGCAAACCTACCTAGAACCCCCCGGGATGGACTTTGGGCCATATTCCATGGCCAAAGCATGGCGATTGGGTGCGGTTTCGCGAGTTGGCTAGCAGCGCGGGATAATTCGCACCATGGACATTTAGGGTTGGGCACGAAACTAGAACAATGAACATCAAGGTACGGAACAACGGGGTCGAGAGCGCCATCCGTCTCGGTTCCCAAGTACTGTAACATGACATGGCCCAGCTTTCTTTATTCGAAATGCATGGCGAGATGCAGATGACAGGACTCAGGAGACCTTCGTGCGACTGGTGGATATTGCAACTGTTGGCCGGCTGCCCGAATAGGCATCCCATTTTATTTTTTATTTTTTTAATCATCCTGTTATCGCGCCTCTTCCCGCAGGCGTTATCAACGGTGGGCATATGAGACGAGAATGTGCTTTGATACCTAGGCGGTCCATCCATACTGCGGCAGCTATTTTGATAATGGCTGTTTTGATGAAATGAGGGGACTGTCTGGGGTTGAAAGAGGGGAGTGTTGGCGCGCCGAAGAACCAAAAACGGTTCAACAAGAGCACGGGCGGTGGCTTCAGAGACGGATTCCGCTGTCAGGTTCTTCAGCTTCGAGCAAGTCTGACCAGAAGCAGACTTCGGGTATGGGGCGATGCATCATCTGGCGTGATGACAGTCTGGGGGTTTAATGAGTTGATCGTGGGCGACGAGCCGATAAAATTGCACGTCGCACACCGATGCGCGTATGCCCCCAGATGCCCCAGATGGCGAGATGACAATCGGCGGCTCGTTCTTTTTTTTGATATCCAGATTCAAGGATGACACTGACGAGGTGCCCAGTTAAAAAGGCTGTGGACTGTGTAACCGTGGTTCATCATCCGAGGTCCTATTGCATCCAGCAATATCCGGACGGGCCTTCTGGGCAGAACGGGTAGCGTCCGTATTTGATTGCAGGGTTGGTCCTTTGGCACAGCCTGCCAAGATCCAGGAGGAGGAAACGATAGAGGCCACAGACCAAGGGGCAGAGGGGCCAAGCCAAGAGATGAGGGTGAGATTGTGCCGTCTATCCACCACCGTATCAGTTTCTTTGACGGAGCATTCGTTTTGTCTCGAGACCCCAAGTCTTTCAGACTAATGCTTCAAAGTGCGAGATGAGTACGCAAGCGGGACGAGTCAAGGTGCCCCAGCGTGTTTGTACAATGTCAGGATATGCGAATACTTGATGATGTCCTCTACTCCGTACTAACGAGCCAACTGATATCCTTGTCGTGTCGAGTGTTTCTTTGGGTCAGTCTCGCGCGTCTCATCCATCATGATATGACGTGTTTGTCGGCCAGGTTCCGCCATAGGATCTAAGAGACAATATTCCGTACGGAGTACACATAGCTACACTTGGCTGGCGCACATTATTTTCTGAGTCAGGTATTCGAGGTTCAAGCCTTCAAGGACGCAGAGGGTGTGGTGCCACAGTACTGTGGCACTTGTAGGTGTCTGCAGAGAACGAGAGCCAAGATCTGAAGCTTGACATGATCTGCAGCGGCCCCTTGGTCTTGACTCTCAACAGGGACATCGGGAATACTGACGCAGGAAACGATCAACAAAGGCAAAGCCGGGCGGGAATACTCTTTACGGGTAGAGGCGTCGTGTAGCCCAAAAAAAACTACTATGAAAAACTGTGAGGTTCTAGCGTGCATTTGGTTGAGAAGAAAAGACCATATTCTCGGCGAAACAGACAACAGGAGCCAGTGGCTGAAGAGATGCAGCAGGCTGGCGTGTCATTGGCGGGCTGAAGACGGAGATGATCTGGCAAGCGAGACATGAAAGTACGAAGTTGGAGGCCTTGGAGGAGAGGCTAAGGTAGCTCGAGATACTTCTCGGTGAGATGAAGGACGGTGTGGACGACGTGACGGCGTAGACGGTGGAGGGCCGAGGGGTGACAGATTGACGGTCAGTGTCAGTGTCAAAAGTGGAAGGAACCCCCCATCTTTTGGATGGAGACATTGGTGGAACCGAGGTGCCCTGGTGGTGCAGCCCTGCAAATTAGGGGACCGCAAGTGCAGGTACGACGAGTACGTATCCGTCGCTCCATGCCGTGTACAGCAAGTACCTCCCATTTCCTTCCTCAGCCCGTCCCGTACCTATCGTCCGTATCTCATCCAGTCCTGGACGTCGTATCCGTGTTTAAGGTAGCTACGAACCGTCTTGCCTCGGTCGTGGTCATCCGTGCCTGACCTGAGAGTCCGTTTCGCTTCGTTATCTCGACGGAAGACGGCCGACCCGAGAAATCCACGCCTGGTCCGCCCGAGGCGCCGCGTCTTCCCTTTCCCCATTTTGTTACTCAAAAAAATCCCCTCAGCAGAAAAAAGATGGGATCGTGTTGTGAGTACCTAGGTAGCCTGGTTATTATTCTGCCTTTTCTGCCTGCCATGGCCGAAGCGACGCCGCGACCTGCCTTCTAGGGTGACTGACTCCCGCCTGAGGAGGTAACCTGCAGGCCATGCACCCCAAGGTTTCCCCTCCGTGTAAGAGGTGAGAGGGTCGACATGTACATCTGCAGATCATGGCAGTGTAAAGGTACTTGATAGTTTGGTCATTCCATCGCCACGGACGGCCGCCCTGGTGCTGACTGTTGGCCGTTGCCCTGCCCAGGAACGGACGTATTCCGTTCTCGGCGCCCACTGAGCTTGCAGGCTTACAGTGAATTATCCGCGTCATTACTCGCCCCCGGCCCCAGGTTTGGAGTGCTGTATCATCGCTGCAATCCTCGGCCGTGTCATGGACTCATGGCTCAAAGTCCACCGTGTTGAACACCTGCTCGAGTTCCATTAGGTTGTGCTTGTCGTTATCATTCTTACATTTCGCCTCCCGTCAGCTCTGATCTGATACCGCCCTGTCATGGTACCGTCCTATTTCATGATAAGGTAGCCGCCAGATACGGATAAGAGGACGGGAATGACACAAGATTACAGATAATCTCAAGGCGTGTTCGTAAAGGTCAGCTCCCATGCTCCGCCTTTTTGCCATCATCATCCATGGCACTCACTACCTGAGCATATCTTGATCTACCCGCTCTTTACTTTGTGCTGTATTCTTACGTTTCAAACGGATTCTGGGACCCACGGCAGAAAGAAGAAACACCAAAGTGCAGGGAGTGATGAAATTTGCTAGACGTTTGGTCGATACAGCTATCTACATCCGTACGGATACCGATCTCAGATCTATAGGTAAAATCGCGACTTGCTCCGTAGTAGCGCCGTCTTTCGTATATTCACCTCTCTCTCGTGTAATGTGCCTCAGCTGCCCAATGTCTCTGCATGTATTTGTATCTCACATACGACCAATCTTCTTGACGGATACTCCAAGGCGTTCAGCTGCCGCGCAAATAAACACTGCGGTACCTACGGATAGTGTAGACTTTCAAACCCCCCAATCGCATCGTCGCAGTCCACGATCCAGGCCATCCAGAAATCGGCTGCACATTTTGAGGTTGCAAATACCCCAAAAGTCCAGACCTCTCTAATGGACCATCTAAGCTCCTATGGTAGCCTTCATTCCGGACACCGACACGTCGGCAATCGATAATACCCCAAGCCATCCCACGGAGCAAGCTTGCAACGGGCTAGAGTTACAGCCACGTCGCCGACTTACACGGAGCGAAGGAGTCCAGCAACAGTTGAATCATCACGACCGGAGCCGGCGGTATCTTGAAAGTACACTTCCACTTCCGGAAACCCCCGCACCATCACCATAACCATCATCACCACCACCAATCCAATTCCTCCGACTCTGACTCTTCTTTTCTTCCGACGGGAATCTTCAAGTCCAGAAACTCCTTCACGCACGAAACCCAGACCCGACCCTTCACGGCCTGCTAGGCCGAAACAAGGCCGCATCAGCAGTCTCAATACTCGGTATCGACCTCGCCATCAGCACCAATACCGTCGTCTCGGCATCAGCAAAGCACCGCAGTGTGGCACTCGTGCACCCAAGCCATATGAACCAATACTCCGTAGTCTGCACTTCGTACTCTGTACTCGTACCCAATTCAATATCAGGCTCACGCACCTCACCTCACCTCACCTCAGACTTTCTCAGTCAGCCTGCCCTCCGACTATTGAATGCCCCCCCCCTGCCTCCGCCTTTCCGAATCGCTGGGCAGAAGGAACAAGATTTGAGACAAGAGTCACCGAAGACGCGTCTTCAGCTGAGAGGTGTAGCCAGTCGACCACGTAGGACCTACCAGCACACAGCAGCTGCTCGGTATTGATGCTGCTTCTGCACAGTCCTTCTTGTCCTGACCTGGCCAGCTGGACTGCACCCGACCCGACGTGTGTCCAGCTCCCCCGGACTTTCGCGTTAGGCTCTCTCTCTGCCTTGCTTCCGTCTCATTTCAGTGAGGCGTGTGGGTGAGTTAGGCAAGTAGGTGCATGTCACCATCTAAACGGACGTGGAAGTCATTAGCGAAAGCCCCGTCTCACCGTATTTCTTTCCGTTTTCCGTTTTTTCTCTTCCTTGCGCCCTTTCCCGTTCCTTCCACCCACCCCTGCCCGCGGTTGCCCTACCTTACTCGGTCTCCACCGGGAAGGGGGGTGGTCGCCCACTTCCTTCCCACTCTGCACAGACCGGGAAGTCCACCCCTGCCCCCCTCCTTCTCACAAGTTCACAAATGTCACTCCGTCTGCTTCCCCCTTCCTTCCCACACCCACACTCAGCAGGCTCGGTACCTACGGTGCTCCTTCCCGCCACGCGAGGCCAACCTGAAAATAATACGGGGAAAGGACCGCACCCTCGCACTTGCTGCCTTGCAGCCCACAATCCCATAATCCATAATAACCCAGCCTTCGCCCGCGTCCATCCATCGTGACAGCCGCCTCCCGAATCTCTTTCTATTCCCTTCCGCGACTACATTATCTCGCCATACAGCAGTGACCGAACATCCCAAAGGCCTCGACGATCTCACAATAAGCCTCTTCCACCGCCCCATACCAGTCTACCCACATACGCCTCTCCTCACTACCGGTCCCCCGATCCGCCCTCTACTCGATCCAGCCCACACCGTCTAGTGGTGTCTCGCCCTGCCTCATTCTCACCGGCAATCGAACAAAGGAAAACGAACATTTCCTACACTTCCAGTAAACCCTTTTTTTGGCCCCTTGGATATCCGAACGCCCGCCCGCCTGGATCCTTTGTCGCTTTCGTCGATATTTCCAGCACACCCTCCCGTCATCCCGAATTCCAGAGTCCAGACTTCCCTGCTCTCCGCCGCCCGGCCCAGCTATAACTCAAGGGTCCCTGTCTTGGAGGCTTAAATAACTCCCGCTGCGATCACCCCGGCTTTTTCAAAACACTATCAGCCAAGCAACTCATCTACGCGAAATCCAGCATCACGCGTCATTTCCCTCACGGTCTACACAAACAACCATAAAGGGACTGTCCATTCCATTCCATCCCATCTTGCATTCCTACCCGCCTTCCAGTCCACAACTAGCCGCCATTGTCAGACTCCACACAAAATGTCACCGGCACAAGACCAGTATTACTACGTTGTTCCCAACGCCAGCGCCATGGACCCCAACGCTAGAGAATTCGACCTCTCTTCACAAGGTTGGATCCAAGCCACCATCATCGAGGATGACGATCTCATGTTTGGCGGCAAGTCTTTGAGCACTTGGTATGAGGAGGAGAGAAGACGTCTGAGCAATGGTTCCTCAGACGAGGAAGAGCACCGCGGTCGCCAGCGGGTAAGCTACAATGCCGTGGGAAGTCTCTTGAGACATTGACTAACAATTCCATAGGTCCGCAAGCACCACTCTTCTCACAAGCATCACCACCACTCGTCGAAGCAGCACTCTACCAGCTCCGACAAGAAACACTAAGCGCGCCCTCTTTCAGCTCTCTATCTCCTTTGGTATAGACCGCCATCTCCGCGATACCCTTTGCGAGCGCTTGAATTTCATACCCCTTTCACGTCGACTTTGTACATCCAATACGGGTACCTGGATCGACTTTCACGCCCTACTTTCCTCAACTCCTCAATACCCTCCTCTGTGTGGCATTAGGTACACCGGCGTTTGTTTTTATCAGCGTTGCATGTTTCGGCTGGGTCACTAGAACGGCTTCATGTCCAAAGAGAGGACAACAATCGGCATGGGAATCACGGGAGCCAAAGCAGAAATCTGTATTTCTCCGGCACCACCTTTCGTTTTAATTGTTATTGCATTGATCGCAACGGACTGCGATAGCGTCATGATTCGCATCTAGACGGTTTTGGGGCATCATCAGCAGACACTCTCTGACTTGATCGTCGAGAGCTGGCTTGTTATTTTGCATGAGTGGATACATGTCAACTCGGGGGATTTGTGCAGCGGAGGCATCATACACGTACTGTACCCCGTGGCGGGACGGCGTGGCTACAGGTTAGCAAGATAAGACTGTTGCGAGGCAACGAAGGCGAGCAGTGGAGCTTCATCTCGAGCTGAGTAGCGGTGAGAGCTGCGCCTCGGCTCGGAGCATGGGGCCCACGAGAATGAATACAAATCAGTTAAACTACTACTTTGTGCCAGATTTATGATGGGGTGAATGTTGCACAATTTACTGTACGAAAGATTGCTACTGTGATGCATCCGGGTTTTGAATAAACATCATCGCCAACGACGTACAGTAGTGCTCCCCCCACGCTCAACAGTTGAGGCACAGGTAGATATAGCAAATCCAACAGACGGGTTTCGTCAGCGGTCTTCCTCTGCAGGTCCAGCACCGGAACAGCGAATCGAGCCTCGCCGAGCTGCAGCTACCGCGCCCGCAGTTCAAGTTTAAGCTTGTGTCCGGAGACGAGAAAGTCTGGAGAGCTGCGTTGCATGCGCGCTAAGGAGTTGGCGTGTCTACACAGTAGGTAATTCCCCTCCCTGTCTGCCGCGATTTCTTTCTGCGCGGGATGAAGGCCCTGGTTCTGGCGCGGGTTTACGGAGTACTGCCCGTGGTCTCGGGTACGGCCGGCGGCTGGTACCGGGGGGTGCTGGGGGTGCTAAGGGGGTGGCCGGCGCATGAAGAGTGCCAGAGGCAGATGGGGGTCATGGCCTGACTCGGGGGTGTTTGGGTGGGTGTGTTCTTGACTCTTGTCATTCCGTTTCTTCTTCTTTGTTGCGTACTGCGCGATGTCTTTTTTTTATGTGTCCGGCATCGGCGGTGAAGAAGTTTTTAGGGGATTGGAGATGGTGTGAGGGATGGGTTGGCAATGCCGAATGCCGTAATTCGGGTTCGGTGGGTGACTGCCACCAACGACCTAAGGTAGGTATGGGTGGTCATCGCGATAGGTTTATGGGTAAAGGACTAGGTTTGCTTTTGCTATTGACTTTGAAGTTTTGATTCTAATGTCGTGATCTCCTTTCTGTGTGTAGATTTGATAGCCGCGATGTTGTCGAGTTCAGGTTCATGCCTCGGTGTGTAATGAGCACTGAGCTCAAGTGCTTCAGCAAATCAATGAACCTGGTCATCAAATATCACCGTTCCATTTCTTGCGGTGTCGGGCAACTTCGTCTTCGTATTGAGGCAAGCTGGCAAGTGCACATCCGATCACACGCGCCTCGGGAATAAGGCAATGCCAAGACGCACAATCTGTCAATCGTTTCTAGGACTTCACCACGAGAGTGTGATAGATATAACAGCTATCCTTGGTAAAGTATTAGACGCAGGACGTTTACGGCACTAGACAGAACTTGATCTTGACTGATCAAGTAACATAATTCTGAAGGTCACCTTCGAGTCAAGCTTTGGGGGTGCTCTCCACTAATACCTTAAGCTTAACTTAATTGCCTCTTCAACTCAGCCTTCGTGTAATGGGCTCAAGCTCCCGCACGACGGTCTCGATGAGGTATGTCATTGGCCGTCATGGCTTCGAGTCCCTTCCAGGAAATGAAGGTCAAGTCTACTCCCTCGTAATAATCCCAAGACAGGAAGAACCGGACCCCAACATGGAGCATCACATACTTGCAACGTTCCTTACCCCAAGTGTCTCGAGATGACGCATCTCTCATACATCTTCGCAGCAGGCGCATTGATTCACGCAACAGCTGCGCAAGCCAGCCCGAGCCAGAAGCGAACAGTCTAGAGACTATACTCGGACTTCAACAGCACCGACTCCCATCCAATGCGCGAACTTGACGGTTTCGCTCGGTTACACCCAGCCAGGATCCAACGACATTCTCGAACTGCGAAACCTTGAAACCCCAGCTGCCCACCAGCCTTCCAAGAAGCCACCATTCTCAAGTTTGATGAAAAGACCTCGAGGTCGATGAGCGCAGGATTCATGGAGATGTGAGTATTCTGATGGGGATGCTCTGCGCGCAGTGGACTATCCCCTCAAGGGCCTGTATTTTGTTCTGCCAGCTTTAACATGAAGACGAGACAACCTGTGCTATTCATTATGTTGGAAGCACGGCCGGCCCGGTCATGCCCTCGTCGCGGCGCGGTATGTGAGCCATAGTCTTGAGGGTAGTGATTTCCTACAATTGAAAGACTACGGTGTAAGTCGCGCGTTTAGAGGTATCTTAGATCTTATTAGCTGACAGGGTTCTGCATGGGGACTCGGGGGTTTGACATGCTCTGCGGACTTGAAAACGGCGTGTCCTGTCAACGGGTTTTCGCCTCGAGAGGGAACGATGTGCGGGTTAGATCGGCCTATTGCTTATCGATATTCTTGTTGAGAGCTTGACGCAGAACATTGTGCGGCGATGGAGTGAGTGCCACCTCTATACCATGGCACTCGAGGCCGCACTCTGGAGCTTGAGTATCTAGATGTTAGCCATGTTTGGCATTGGAGTTAGGTTTCCCAGCCGTCACTCTGATCATGAACGCACACATACATACACACAGATTGTCGGACTTCTTCATCGCGATACTTTCACGAATACATGCAGGTCAGCTTGGGCTATCAAAAGTTCTGACACCGAGCTTCAAGAGGGGCACATGTAAGAAACAAGGGCAACGACATGGGCAACAGGAAGAATGACTGAAAGCTACTAGGTAGCTTTTATTTGAAACTGGTTAGCTGATAGCTATCCGCTATTTAAGACTGCCATCTTTCGATACGCTATCCACAAGCGCTAAGCGCACAAAGTTGCTGTCTGTCTCTTGCAAACGCCCGCCGGGTGCTTAAGAATTGCAGACCGCTCTCTCGCAGTAACCCGATCGATGTTCATATTTCAATACAGGCACATCGCGACATTTGTTGCCCGCCTTCTTCCGGTCGCATTCCTCCCTTTTCAGCTTCCTCTCACCGATGTTAGTGCCGCACTTGACGCAGTGGTATCGAACGTAAGGCCGGCTGCATATCTTAACGAATGCTTTCAGTGACGTTCTGGAAATGGGTGTGGTTTAAGACGAGAACTATGGTTGGTTTTCGGTCTTGTCACTTTTTGATTATTGTCGAAGCTGGTAGGTAGCCTTGATGATTAGTCTTGCAGTTGGCTTGGTAGGAATTGTGTGGTTTTGAAGTCGATGCGTTTTCTGCTTTTCTTGTGGACGGACTCGTGTCTTTTATGTGATTTTTTAGAGAGAAGATGTGAATCAGGCAGTCGATGTATCGCACTATCACGGCTTGTAGTGTATGAGAAGATGAATCAGTCGAGTTGCTTCTGGATCCTCCGGACTGAAATGGCATCGAATCACTGTTTCTTCTTGAGATACCTTTTGCAGGAGTTCCACTTGGTCGATAAGGGCAGCTGACAAGATACGTTGAAAAACACCTTCGTGTTCGTCTTTGATCAGGTATGAAGCAATGGGTATAGAATGCTTTGACACTTCCGAATGAAGCCATGTGATATATCCTTGAGTCCAAGCAGGTCTTGCGCTTGAATCACTTTGAGTACATATGATAATTGATGATTGAACAACGTTTTTGTGAAGAGTAGACTATTTTTGATTAAAGTCACACAGAGAGGCAGAATATCTAGGAGATGATTGAGTGCCGAGTCGGTGGCGGTGGTATGGAATTGCTGAACATGGGTTGAGGACTCAAAGGGGCGTGCTTATGTGATCGTGGAATCAGGGACGCTTCGTGTCACCCTCCTTATTAGTCTGGAAAGATCGAGGGCGGTACGGAGGATCGTTATAGGGAGCTCTATGGAGGGTTCATGTGGTCAAATCTGAAGTCAAATCACATTGAAGCGTTGTGGTCTTGGTCATTATGGGCTCATTTGGGGCCAGGAAGATAGAACAGGTCTCTTTGCGGGCCGCGTGCGTGCAAGGTCTCGTAGCATCGCACTCTTTCGTGTGTCTTGCTCATTGCCCCTTGGGATAAAGTGAGTTGGGCGGCTGTTCGCTGTTGGCCGTTAACAGGAATCTCCTCAGATCATGTTCTGCAATGCCCTCGAGGGAGACATACAATGTTCACCGCCAGGCTCCTCTCAAGCACGCTGACCAAAAGCCTTGACAGACGAGTAATCATGACTGGCGCTTGCGCTGCCATGCTTAAAGCACAATCTTCAAGGTTTGAGTAAAGCTGTTTTGGCATAGATGAACCGTACGCATGGCGTTGGCTCGCAAGACCCTCAACGGTCTTGACAGCGGCTCATGGCAAGTAGACATCGCACCGAGGAAGTCTTATTGAATGACTACTGTGGAAAGGCCGAGAAGTATGTGGGCCGAATTTCGCCCTGAAATGGTTACCACATAGTAAAGTAGGTACGCAACGGCAGTGGCAGCCTGTCCAACAGAAGGAAAGAAACCATCGGTATCTTCTGTAACCGGTTAATCAACCAAACGCAGTCTGAACTTCACGGTCTGGTTTCTATCGCCTTCGAGAGTCCGAGCTGATTGCTTTCGGAACTTAGATCTGACCTTAGGCATACATGGAAGCTGGTTATGATCTTTGAGATAGAGGTGCTTCTTATGTGAAGTCAACCGCCCTCTTAGCGCTCGAATTTCTCACGTACTTGTCAATCATCAATGACCATGGTTCAACTGCACCTCTCGGGGCCCATTAAGGGGAGGATTGGAGTTGCCTGGCTGGCCCTGATCAGTTAGCCAGAATGAGTTCTACTGGAAAGTACTTGAGTCATTCACTTATGACTGCGAGCTTTCGCTTTGCCACCCATGATCCCCTTGTTCTGCTACTGGCGAAGTGGTGGCATGTGTGATGGCAGCCGAGCCAGCATCTTTCCAACGGAGGTGTTTCGCCCAGAAGTGAAAGACTCGGGTATCACGGATACATGACGATTAAAAACTCTGTCCAGTAGCAGACGGTGTCAAGTTGGCAGCAGTGTAGGTGAAGAGATTGATGCTACTTGTGACTCTATATGAGACCAATCCTTAGTACAGCTGGAAAGGTCAGGTGTAAGAATGGGACTTTACGTTTCGGCGACGCGTGCATCCAGCGCAACACAGGGTTACAGCATGAAGAGCGAAGTTGAATTTGTCAAATGTACGTCAAGAGACTCCTCCAAGTTACTTTACTGAGCTCATGAGTGGGCAGTGTCTCTCGTTGGTTGTTTCTCCAGTGGCTTGCAACATCACGTACAAGATTCTAGAGAAGGAGTCTCTGCCCTCACATTGCCTGAGAATTGCCAGATTCTGGATAGTCCGGAGAGGTGTTGCCCATCGAGACCTTTCCGGCAGAGCAATGCGTAACCTGTCGGCCGGGAACGGGATTGAAAAATGGTCCATTCCGCCGGAGCCGGCATTTCCGTCGACCGAGTGTGCCGCAGCGCAGCAAGCTTTACCTAGATCTGACGTGTAAATCTACAAAGTTCCATCAGACCACTGCAACCTTACTTCTCATTGTGAGCCTGTGACGCCTCGGACGCCCTCCAGGCGTTGGAACATGCGGCGTATAGCTGGTGTACCGGAGAGAGACTTGCGGATTCCGGATCGTGTGTTGAGGGGACAACGGCCAAGAAGTATCCGTGTCGCCGGGATAGCTGGGAGCGTTTAGTAAACAGGATGCAGCACTGAAAGCAACGAGAAAAAGGTTCAGCCGGCGAACGTCTTGGCTTCTCGGCTTCCTTGCGGTGGCTCAGCTCATTCGGATGCGTGGGATACCTGGATGAGTGCACCTACTCGGGCAGAGTTGTGGACTGAGCAGGGAAGACTTTTGACATTCTAGACTTTGAGCTGCAATCTTGCAGCAAGCATACTTTTGCAATGCGGCTATGCAAAGTAATGTCTAGTAGTCTTCATTCTCTAGCAACTCGTTGCAGCTGGCGTAGCTCCCGCTCCTTGTTGACGCCTCGTGATTTTCGTACTCCCATCTTGGTCAAGTGGGCGGGCACTATCTATGGAATGCGCTCCGGCCGACAGCCCCGCAGGTCCGGGGACGGGAGCTTTGGAAAGCCCCTCACCGGTCGCAGCTTCGCGGACCGAGGAGCTGTAAGTTTTTGCTTGCTTTCTTTCCGAGAGCCATCTCGCAGGCGGGGTCTACAAGTGACGAAGCGATTATGTAGGCGTCAGCTTGACAAATTCTCAGCCAAAGTGGCTCGGCGAGGCGCAAACAGCCCAAAGGACTGCAGAGGCGCAACGGGCTGGACCCTTGGCGTTGATGATCATGAGTGGCTTTGCGGGGTCAGCAGTGGACGAGGCCAAGGAAGCCAAGTTTTGGTGTTGTGGCTGTGGGCATGTGAAGACGAGAGAAAGGCTCAGAGGAGTGGATGAGATGAAAGTTGAGATGCGATGAGTTACGGACAAATGAGATGACAACAGTTGCGTCTGGATGACGCACTGACCGGACGAGTGATGAGCTGTTTCTTGCTGTTCGAGTCTTGAGAATTGGCAGACATGGCAGACGAGCTTCATCTCATCGACAGGGTCGTCTCAAGAGTCTAGACCTCCTGTACGTCAAACCAAGCTTTGACCAAAGGATTCAATTTCATCAGATTGTGGGCTTTGACTCTCACTAGCAGTGCCGTCCGGTCATCTTTTAGACGGCGTCCGATGTGGCCGTCTCTGATGTGTCCACGGCGCCATGCAGAGCGCCACAGTGATCCCGATCCCTCCTTGACCTATTTCGAGAGATGTGTGAGAGAATAGGGAGTCCTGATATCGTAAGAAACAAGGTAATGCAAGACAAAGTTAGCTAACGACCGGTGCTGCCGGTTTCCGTGGTAGCCTCTCTTACTCCTCAAGTTCTCAGCCAGAAGACTCTTGGTTCCTCTCGCACACCTACGTACACCCAAAAAAAAAAAAAAAAAAAAAAGACTTCGGCCAAAGTCGCCCACTTCACCGAAAGTCGGGCGCCGATCAGAGAGACCGGTGCGGAATCGGTCCCTGCACGGCAACCCTCTCTAGTGGCCCCATCCATTCGCGGGAATAGACGGGAAATTTGAGATGAGGCCCGCCGGCGGTAAATGAGGGAACGCAGGCGGCAGCAGCCCTGTGGGCTCGAGGGTTTCAAGCCTCAAGAAGGTTGGTTCATGGTTACACCTTGACAATCAAAGACTCGTGAAATGTGCTCCGTGGGTAGGTAGGTAAGGTAGGGTTGAGGGAGACACCATCAAGGACTCATCTGACAAGTCTCGCACACCCAAACCTCCCGCGTCCTTCCCGCACCGTCACCGTCATTTGATCCAAGGCGCGCAAGTACCGAAGAGGGTTGGCAACTTGGTGGGAGGGCGCATGTCTCAGTGTCCAAGACACAGACTAGCAAAGTGAACCCCTTCACCGCAGGTCATGAAGCCATTGAGAGTGTTGCCCTGGGGGGGATCTGGGCCCTAGACGGGCGATTATGGCCTTATCGCTCCATATCAGCGTGGCATCGCATCATCCGGTCACACTGACTGGTCGCCAGGGAGAAGCACGCCCATCATCATGGCCCGTTGATAACCCACAACAAAACATTCAAAAGGTTTCAACGCTACCTTAAGCCTCATGCGTTCCCGGGAAGAGAGAACACTTGACCGTAGCCACTATCAACGTCGTATCTTTGCCCTCTCTTTTCTGAGTTTTCTCGTTTGCCCGGCAGATGCCCATCCCCCGGGCGTCGACGGATGCCACGGCCTTTCATCGCCTGACCACGCAGCCACGGTCGTCCACGTCGGCCGGCTGTTTTCATCCACTCAGAAACGCGAAGCTGACACCGCCATAACATCATGACAAGACCAGGGGCGCGGGAAAGTTTCTTGCAGCGCCATCCAGCAGCATCCACAATTCGAGATGCAAGGGGGAGAAGGGGGGGGTCCTCTCTTCCATTCGCATGACACTTGCGCAAGGTAATAAGGCATTGGTCGTGTGTATTCGTAGTGTAAGTCGGGCGTGCAGGTTTTATTCGTACAACACACATGCACACACTTTACGCATGTAGTACACAACGAGGTACACAAACAAGTACCTCATCGAGAGAGACACGAAAACTGAAAATTTGTTGACACATCGGAGAATTTCCATACCATTTCCCCCCCTCTCGTTTAATTGTTTCTAGGGACCAGTTCAACGTCACAAACGAAAACTACTGCGTCGTAGCTCCAGTTCTTTTCCTCGCGTAGGGCCCCTTTTGGTTACGTGGTTCGGCCCTTTTTCTGCACATTCTTGCCGTTGAATTCCCTTGAATCAGTGATTCGTGTGAATCGATTCGTAGCTGGGATACGGGGGAAAAGGCCTCGTCCCCAAAAGGGCCCCAAAGTAATAGCTCCAAGAAGCAATGACTTCAACTTTCAAGGAGAAGAGAAGAAAAAATTGCTTGGTTGGACCCATTTAATGCCCAGTTCCGGACACTGCCCGGACCAGACGGAGCTCACAGCGCAACCCTCCCGGCCCCATCGTCATTACTCATTCTAGGCCGAATTACCTCAAAAGTACTACTCTTCTACCCAAGTATTATACATACTTCGTACTAGTAGCTACTCCTTAGTCTCAGAGATGTATGCGGCCATGGCTGGCTTTGTACCCTCAGCGCCCTGAGAGGTGTGCCACGAGTGTGCCCAGAGCCACACACACACACACACACCCATCCCAACTTCCCAACTTCCTTTGGCCTGACGGGCTGGTACAAATGGCCATGGGCGTTGGCATGAGTAAGTAAGGATCGGCCTTGTTCCGTTGGGCGCTACCGCGGGTCTGATCGCCCATCGCTCTTCAGATTTTTAGGGCGCCTCGTCTCGAACGATCTGAGCTTTAGATTGGTGATCACTGCATAGGGTTCCGGCACCCGCGGCTTATATAGTGGACTTGGAATCCCGTTCGAACTGCTCTCTCGTCATATTCGTCAGATCCCATTTCCTGGCACGGCACTTGGCTCTTCGTCTGAACGGTTCCCCCTATATTTACATCGGGCACCCATCGACACCTCACGTCAACAATAAGCACAGACACTTACAACACCTCACCTCACCTCGCCTCACCTCACCATAGAGTACAAATACCAACACAACGGTACCACATACACAGACGTGCTACCACATATACCACCTCCCATCTCCACACTCAACTCTCCTACACGCAAGGATCACATATACACCTTACTCTTCAACATGTTCGGCCGTCAGTCACAAACTCAGTTCCCCAAGCGAAGCAGCTCAGGCTACTCGTGGCCCGAGAGCGACAGCGAAGACGACATCGTCATCAGGCCCTGCGCCACGAACGAAAAGGCCGATGCCACCGTCACCATGACCGAGTGCGTTCCGGGTCCGACGGCGGTGGAACAGACTTCTCAGCCCAGACCCTCCCTCAGCGGCCGCCGCGCCTCCGCTGAGGACACCAACCTGCAAGAGCTTTGGGAGTGCATGCTTGAGCTCCAGCAAGAATATCACTGCTACAACTCGACGCGCATGGAAATCGCTGCCGACAGGGAGGATGCTATGGATATGATGCGTATGTTGACACCCAGTGTTTACCCCCTGATAACAGTCTTCCACTAACACTATACTCAGCCACCAAGTACTGCATGGACATGCTCAACGACTCCATCGAGTCCCTCCCCGAAGAGGGCTGGAAGAAGCTCAGCAAGTTCCTCATCACCGACCTCGAGCACGCTCAAAAGTCGCAAAAGTGGAAGTTCTGGAAGCACCTCTAGACTTATGCATACGGACCGCCCAACTATTGCATTCATCCTTTCTTTCAGCGAAGCGAAGGGCTCTCGGCTCTGATTAGAATGATACCCCCTTTTTTTGTCATAACAAAAGTTTCGGTTTACGGTCAGGCGTCTCATCGGATATTCCCAGGTTCAACTGTTCACATCTGGGCTTGGTGGCTCTGAAGGCACGGATTTCTCATAGATTATTTAATCCATCACGCAAATCATACTTGATACACATTGAAACATTGACATCTTTATTCTTCCGTCCTCTTGCCTCATCAAATTGCGCATACTACCCAGTGGCTCACACGATTTCGTCATATCGTACGAGACGGTATCTCATGGAATGCTCGGTGCGGGGTGTTGGAGATCTCGGCAGGAGCCCACGGCCGCCGGCTCCGATTCCGGATCGTGAATGCCGATCGTTCGTTGGCGTGCTCACCAGTGTGACACGACATGCATGTGCCATTACATCGCGGGGAAATCGTCAGGTAGGCCGGTGAGTCAGAGCGTTTTGACATGTCGACTCAAATGTGACGCTAGCTATGGGCTTACACGTACTCATCAAGTATACAGGAGGTATTTTATCACGATGTTGAAAGTGCAGTGATGTAGACATACTGTTTGATGGGTAGGGGGACCGTGGTATCCGCAGCATGTCTCGAATTCTCAAGTCTAATTGCGGGTTTAGCCTTCAATAGCGCAGAGCATCAGACATGAAGATCGTCGTAGGAAAACATCTTATTGGGCTAAAATCTCATTACAAGGTCATATAAACAATGCGGAAACGAAAAAAACAATAGCCAATCTACACAGCCGCGGCCACTTCGACAGGTCCCAGCGGAAGCCGAGCGGCGGCAATGTTGCACTGCCGGAACAGCCGCACCTCATCTTCCGCAAAGGCGCCCACCACGGAGTGAATCACGCCGCGGTTGTGGAAGATGACAAAGTCACCCTGCTCCCAGTCGTGAGCGTACACGTTCTTGGGCGAGATGCCCGGCCGCTGCAGCCGGTGCACCCTCTCCCGCACCTCGGCGAGGTCCTCCACCACGGTGCCGTCCGCCAGATGCAGCTTCCGCACCGCCGAGGGGTGGACCTGCAACGCCAGCCGGTCCGTGACGGGGTTCCGCCAGCACATGGGCAGGATCTGGATTTTATCCTCCTCAATGGGGGGCAGGTCGTCGAGCGGGACCTCCTTGCCCTCCGAGACCATGCCCAGGCCGGTGGAGCGGGACTTGGCGCTGCTCATCCACACGTACGGGTGCGGTGCGTACTCCACCTTTGTCGTGCGGACGAACTCTTGGTCTTCGGGCGAGAGGTTGTCGTACATTGCGTAGCCGGACACGAAGGCCGTGGTGCCGAGGGGGACTGTCATCTCTTCGTCGGTGCCGTCGTCGTAGCGGAGGGTTTGCTTGCGGCCGCCGGGCACGCGGACTGCCAGGAGAGTTGTGGCGACGGGCGGTGCGAGGCCGTAGAGCGCGGCATCAATGTGCCACCGGTAGAAACGTGTAAAGTCCAGGTCATCCTCGTCAGGGATGGTCGTGGCGTGGAATGTGCGGTGGTGAGGGTGTCTGAGCTGGATGTTCTTCAGACCCTCGTACTCCTCGACGAAGCCGTTGCCAATGACTTGCACTTGAGGCTGGTGCGGGATGGTCTTCAGGTCGGGATGCAGGATGGAGCGCTTGGCGTCCAGAGTCTTGCCGTGTCCATAGTTCTCACCAGAGTCAGGGTCGAACTTTTGTGTAATCTCAAACTGGGCCTTGGGGGAGGCGTGTCCCTGATTTTTGATCACGAGAACTTGGTGCTTGAAGAGAGCTTCACGGATGACATCAAAGTCGGCATCTGTAAATCGTCAGCCCCTGGTCTGAAGTGAGTTTTGTTTCTGAAGCTTACCAAAGGAGGTTACCGATTTCACGGGTGTTCTCCCACTACTTGTACAACATCATTGCTTTCAATGTAACACGCATGCGTCATATCTTACCAGTGAGATTCTCAATATCGGCGTTGCTAATAGTGGCGCCAAAGTCGACAGCCGAGTCCGCAGCAGGGACAATCGGCTGGACGGTTATGCGAGAAGGAATCTGTGAGATGGCCATTTTGGGGGACTGGAGTTGAGGCTGATGCTTGGTTCTTGAGAGTGTCTTGACTTCGTTTCGAATCTCAGCTGTCTTACAGTCTCTCATATGAATCCATAAAGTAGTCCCGGGACTCTGAAGAGGCTTTTATGTCTTGTGAAAGACATAGTGGTGGAATCGTCAGCTCGGATCCCGCCGATGGCTGCGGGTGAGTTTGTTATCTCACCCGCACCGGCCCGCCCGCACTTCGAACTAAAGAGTCTGGAGATCTGAGATACTAAGATAGTGGGGTTTCTAGACGATAAGGCTGTAGCGTGGAACATCCGAATTGCACATTTCTGGTCTGTATCTTGCTGGTATCATTAGGTGATGGCTATCCGTACTTTGCTACTTGCCAAAGACTCTGGCTTCAGACATTGGGCGTCCTGTCAAGCAGTTCCGTCAGCTTATTGCTGACAGACAGCCATCTGATATCTGGCTGTGCTCATGTACCCAAGTTCCCCATGTAATACGGTACTGCCCATGAGTCTCCAACCAACATCGGCTCAAAGCCCCAACGCCGAGCCGCGAGTTCACCCCGCCACCGCTCCAACCTACACCTCCCACCCGCGGCTCGGCCTAGAGGCGAATGATCCCGCGAACGTTTGAAAATTCACTTTCTTGCAAGCGATCCCGCAAATTCTCGCGTAGCAATCTCCTCGCTGTTGGTCAAACCACGTCAGTCTCCGTCCCGGCCCCGACCGAAGCGGACCGCGGCATCGGAGGAAAGCGGCGGGAGAGTCCTGTCAATACTTCGGCGCGTTGTCTGTTCCAGAGACTGACTGCAGGCCGGGAGCCTCTCCACGTCCGGTAGGTACTGACTGTAGCCGTCCTAGCTTGTTCGTGAAGGGAAACAAGCGAGGACGTGCCTGCAATGCTGTGGTTGCAATTTTTATGATGGATTGCATGATCAAGGCATACCGTAGGCGGCTCCTCAGTGCTTCTTGACCTTGTCCATCCATTCCTTAGAGGCCTTTGTACCGTCGTGGGCCTTTCGGAAGAGTCCTCGCTCCCACTCGTCCAGACCGCGGAGGAAGTCCTCACCGGAGCCTCCAACACCATCATCACCTCCTTTTCGAGCGTGCAAGGCGATCTCAGACGCGCGCGCTATAAAGGTCTTTCGTATGGTATCGCTAAGGTCGCGCTCGTCAAAGAGATCCAGAATGCGAGTGCCGAGTCCGTAAAAGTGGGCGCTTTGGTCTCTGACCGGCACCGAGCGCGCATCGGCCTTGAGTGCTTGCACAACTTGATTTGATAGCGAGGGAGGAAGGTTCAAGGTGACCGGCGCCTTGGAGTCGTCGTCGGTGCCTGCGTTGGCAAGGGCGAGCATCTCGGCGAGCCAGAGTGGGAGGGAGACATTGGTTCCTGCCTTCAAAACATGCGAAGGGTTATTGTCGAGGTATCCGAGGTCGGCGACATCGAGTTCAAATTTGCAGGGGACTTTCTAAGCAGTCGTTAGCTTTTGTTCACCATTGCACGACTGTGAAGGAAGCGGTGTACATGGAGGGGTTTGATCTGGGGAGTCGCTACATACTTCGGCATCTGTCAGAATGGAATCTATGTCATAGTACGACATCTTGACTTCTTTCAAAGCAGAGTGCTGCTTCGCCGGGCTGGTTGTTTGTAACTGAGAAGCAACTTCAGGCTCGGAAGATTTGCTTGTCAAGCTTGACGCGTCTCATGGTGCAGTAGACGCGATTCTTGGTGCTCGGGCAGCCACACACCACCCCGCCATGTCTGTCACCGTCAAGCCACACGTGTCAGCATGTGGCTATGCTTCTATTAGGTAAGGAGGCAGCACCCAATGAGACGGGACGGATTACCTAAGAAACCTAAGTTCAAAGAGCTCCAGAGAAACTGGAGGGAACAGCTCTCCACTTTTAGTGGATGACGACATTTCTCCACGTCTTTCATTCGCTGAACGCTAGATTAGGTGATTATCTTAGGTACCTAACAGTGGACGGGGGGCCGCTGGAGGAACACGGGGAGAAGCGCAAAAGCGCTGAAGAGCGAGCCCGGCCAGCAATAGCTCGGTAGCCGTAACCCGGGGACAGCTTTTCTGGAGATCCGAGCTCCCTCACGTAATAGCCGACCGAACCTCCCGCAATTGACATCATTCTGAGGTTTGCACCTGCATTTGTCAACCCGTCAATCCAACGTCAAAAGGTACTTTTACGCCCTTCCAGCCTCGCTCCTTGGCTCTTCAGCATCTCACGATCTTCACCAAAAAGCCATTGGCACTAATCAAAAGACATAGAATACGCAAAATGTCGTCCACTCTCCTCCGTACCGCGCCTGTCCTCCGCACAGCTCTGCGAGCTGGCGCCGCTAAGCCTGCTGCTGCTTTGGCCAGCACCAGCTTCGTCCGCGGCAAGGCCACTCTGCCCGACATCTCATGTGAGTAGCGCCGTCGCTCTGATCCTCTTTCGTTGTTAGACACAGGCGCGCTGATGTCTCCTCCTATCTAGACGACTACGGCGCCCTCGAGCCCTACATCTCGGCCCAGGTCATGGAGCTTCACCACTCCAAGCACCACCAGACCTATGTCAACGGCCTCAACACCGCTCTCGAGACCGTCGAGGATGCCAACGCCAAGGGCGACTACGCCAAGGCTGCTGCCCAAGCTCCCTTGATCAACTTCCACGGCGGTGGCCACGTCAATCACTCTCTCTTCTGGGAGAACCTCGCCCCTGCCAGCAGAGATGGCGGTGGCGAGCCCGACGGCAAGCTGGCTGTACGATGTTTCTCTCCATCAGCCCAATACCCTACTAAGAGAAGATACTGACACATCTCGCAGCAAGCCATCAAGGAGGACTTTGGATCCTTCGACACACTGCGCAAGCAGATTAACACCTCCCTGGCCGGCATTCAGGGCAGCGGCTGGGCCTGGCTGGTCAAGGACAAGACTAGCGGCACCCTCGGCGTCGTCACTCGCGCGAACCAGGACCCCGTTACCGGCAACCTCGAGCCTCTCCTTGGCATCGACGCTTGGGAGCACGCCTACTACCTGCAGTACCAGAACCGCAAGGCCGAGTACTTTGACGCCATCTGGAACGTTGTCAACTGGAAGACTGTCGCCAAGCGCTTCGAGAAATAAGCAAAGATTGGACACATGTACGATATGCAACTGTTGATACCTAGCAAGAATTTACCGTGTTCGATCAATGTCAACCTGCTGTTCAGCAGCGTGCCAGGCTGTGACAGCCACTCCAATTTCAACCAATCAATATACTACGGATACATTAACACGTTTTGTAGCTAAGGTGATAATGATCATTTTACGACCTCGGCCGACAGAAACAAGCCCCAAACTCCTCGCTCTAGTCAACGATGTCTCGACGCCATCTCATGGTATTGGGAGGAATCCCATATCTGCCCACTTGCTACCATCGAAGTGGACGTGCTTCAGTTGTCGGTTCACTTGGAAGAAGCAATGACTGAGGTCATGCGATGCCTCTAGAGGCACCTCCGGAATCTTAGCCGACGCAGCTGTAACACAGGCGATGTGCGTTGGATTATCGGCACCGTCGAAAACAGAATCTGTCTCTGGCCCTTTCCACCCTGTCGCATCGTCCTCATACACATAGGATATCTTGCCAGTCTTGGAATCCTGGTATAGGATCCATGTATTGAGGGCCTCCGACCTTTGGCCGCTGGAATCCAACCGAGCTACAGCAAAGCCAGCCATGGTAAAGTTTGAGTCAACAGTCACCGGTAGCTGGCCCGTCGAAGTAAGCTGCTGGCCATCAGATGAGCGATCATAGTTTTGCAGATGGCCGTCGGTGCTGCGGTAGATGATACGAGCGCTCGATGCAGACGTCTGTTCTCCAGCTGAGTGGATTACTTCTCGAGGAAGAATCACCAGTGCCGAGCCTGGTGAGGCTGTCACCCCAACGATTTTGGGCTCCTGGAACCTGGGCGACTTGTAATCGAAGAATACCTCCATAACGTCTCCGTTGCTTGCCTGGACAATGGTAGACGGCCAATACGATGCCATCTGTGTGCCCGTGTTGCTGATGGTGTAACCTGCCTCATTGACGCTGTCTGTCAGGCCCCCTCTTGAGAATCCTTCACGCCAATTGACGCCCAGGATCTTGTCTGGCGATCCAACATAGAAGACTTCAGACTGCGGGATGACAGGCAAGGGCTTCACGAGGCATCTTTAGTGAAAGGTCTACCGGTGGAAACAGGGTGATTACGAACCTCATCGGGCTTGGTCCATAGCTGACCGGCGCCGAAAGGAGAGCCGACCTTGGGGGCCGCACCAGCTTCCATCGGGGGAGTCCAGGCTTGGTAGATGGTCATGTACTGAGACCTTCTCAATGAACCGTCCGTGCCTTGGAAGAAGACTTGCAGGGTAATGTCGGATCCGTATCGCCATCCGACAGCAGATACAGCCGAATTCTGCATGATCTTGGTGGCGCTCGTCGATGGCGTATCGCCGTCTCCCGACCCTTGACTACCCGTCCGTGACTGCTCGCTCCGATTTGCCGTCACTCTCCACGCGGCCACGCCTCCGATAACACCTCCAAGGACCAAAACGACTAGAGCCACAATGATCGCGATACACCATGGGAATCGCCGAGCCGGCCGCTGTTCCTCCTGTCCTCCAACATGGCTTCCAGGGGCTTGCGAAGAGTAGCCATTGTCCAACGGCTTGTGCTCACTATAACCTGAGCCGTTCTGTGAGGCAGACTGCCAGTGATTTGCTCCGTTGGCGATGGCTATAGGAGTGTTGTCGTAGTGGGTGCCTACTTCGAGCCCTGGTTGAACAGACCCTGCTGGACGATCCATGGCGAACGGTTACGATGGAAGATGCCGAAATGTCAGAAACACCAAAGTTCCAAGAAACCAAGAAAACGAGCGAAAAGCCGTCTTGGGTCTCTTGCAATATGTATATCTGGGCTCACATCCGGGCTCACGCTAAGGCAAGGCTTTTGCTTACATCGCTTCGTCTTGTTTCAATACTTTCCAAATCTACGGGATACAATACAAGGGCTCAAAAGTCTCGTATCCTTGTAAGCCACTATGGAGGCTACCTACTTTGCAGAGCTGGACCGGCCCCCAGGTTCGACACAAGGACACGAGCCAAGATCTGCAACTGTGCCTTGTCACCCGCAGGAGAAGCATTGCCAGATAACAGCCGACATCGAGATGCCCCCTGCTCCATTGATGTACAAGGTTGCCTCGTTAGAATGTTCCCCCGTTCAATGGCAGGGGCTCCTCTGGCGCGTAGGGTTCTCAAGTACACTTCAGACGGGCAAAAGGACAATACTTGGCAAATCATCAGGCTACGTGCTTTGCGAGATTTGGGAAGACGTTGACGCAAAGGAGGCGGCACAGCAGGGTCTCTCATTGCGGCCTCTGGTATCCTGCAACTAATAGGGCTGGGCTGACTGAAATGACAGCTCAATATGCAGAGCGTCATGCACCGCCAGAGGGCGGTTGCACTGGAAATACCAAAGTCCCTTTCCGGCGTTCCATCGGTCTTGATGAAGGGCAGCCTGGACGGGAATTTGAAAGCGACAGGCCGCGACCCCTGGCTAATTCGCCGACAGGCAACGAGCTGACAACATTGAATTAACCTTGTTTGTGATTGAAAACGGGCCCAAGACTGGATGATGATTCGTGGTATCGCTCTGAGTGTTTAACTCCTCAGTCCCATGGATGCTTGAGGCCAATTACTGCATGCTGCTCTACCTTGTCTTACGACCTTACCTTGAATCCCAGACTCCAATTTCCCGGGATTGCGTCCTTTGTCTAGCAACGAAGCCTTGTACTCCGTACAACAGCAGAAAAAAGCTTCAACTGACTTCGTCGTTGACCGTGGCGATTCCTGGACAGTGACAACCCGCGGTTCTGTCATAATCTGTCCAATCGAGGAAATGGCCTAAATGCACGAAAGCCGCATCTCGGGTCGATCGGCAAAGGATTGGCCCGAAGGTCTTTTGGTACGGACCAGATCGAACCTCACGTGTGCACATTAGGCAGAACCAAATGGTTCGCGAGTCCGCCACGCCTAGGCTTCATCGAGATAAGAGAGGACGGGAAAAGCTGCTCTAAATGATCGAGATTGATAATGTTCTCATCAAAGATAGCATATTGCTCAAATTCCGACCAATTCATATTGTTCTACTCGCCAGTATTTCACCGCGAGAGGCACCCGTACCCTCGCCATGCCCCTGTGCGACCTCTGCCGATCCATCTCTTGGGAAGATCTCCCTCCCTTCCCGAATGACAACTTCATAAAGACGTTGAGCGGCTACCCGCGATTCCATCACCTGGTATTGAAGAGTTCCCTGATTGAGAAAGATACACCCATCAAAAGATTCGGCGTCCAGTATCATTCCAGCCTCCAAAGCCTACGCCGAGCCGCTTCTGGCGGCTGCGAGCTCTGTCAGATCATCGAGAACGAAGCCGATGCCCTGATAGAGGAGATCGCCAGCCTTCGCCAGCCAAGACGCGGTGTGATGCAGACCGAGCCTAGTTGGGATATGTGGTTGACGAAGCGCTCGGAGCCCAAAGTCACTGGCGATGGGTTCTGGGTTGTGAGTAGAAGCTCTTGGGGGAGTGACAAGTGGCTCGTACCGATTGCGTCCATCGGCTTCAGTTCCGACGAAGGTGAGCTTCCCTCCAGAATCTGTTCAACACCATTCATTTGGTCCACGTACTAACTTGTGGCTTAGGTGATCCTCGCACTGCTGGTTCCTCTGGTCGTGTGTTGAAAGAAGTCCCAGACGAGACGACACTCCGCCGAGCTGTTGACTGGCTTGAAAAGTGCAACGAACATGACTATTGTAGTACTCGCGGAAAGTCTCCTCTACCAAGTCGTGTACTTGATGTTGGGACTCTGGAGTTCGGTCCCTCCATCAAGCTTATCGAGCCAGGCGCTGATGTCCACGATCGGTACATCACTCTCAGCTACTGCTGGGGTCCAGGATCAAAGCACTTCACCACAACCAACGAGACGATGCAAGCACGTAAGGAAGGGGTCCCACTGGACTCCATGCCGCAGACCCTCCAAGATGCAGTCTTTATAACTCGAATCCTCGGAGTCCGGTACCTCTGGATCGACAGTCTCTGTATTTGCCAGGACGATCTCAAAGACTGGGAACGAGAGTCAGGCCAAATGGCCGCCGTCTACTCCAACTCATATCTTACTATTGCGGCCACGAAATCTTCCGACATCAACGGCGGTCTCCTCTCGCCACGAAAGAAAAGGACATACTTGAATCTCCCTCGGGGAAGTGCCAGCAACGAAGACGAGTTCATGCTTGCTTCTGTACTACCTCTCCACAAAGAAATCATCCACGAGTACCACTTGCAAATGAAGGAGGAGCCCCTGGCCAGACGAGCTTGGGGCTTCCAGGAACGTGTTCTTGCCCGAAGAATACTGCACTTCGGGAGCGAACAAATGTACTGGGAATGCCTCGAGGGATTCCAAGCTGAAGAAGGGTTCAAACTCCCACATCGATTGCCCTGCGTCAACCCTGACCCGGAAGTCATCGCCTACGTGGAAAAGCGCGCCGAAGAGCAGGCAGAGCTTCACAAAGACTTCAATCGCTCTGCATCCTCTCTCAAGTCTTGGCCTCACCTTCTGTCCGAGTACGGACCCCGGGAGCTGACAAATTCTGCGGACAAGCTGCCTGCATTCTCCGGTGTGGCGAAGACGTTCAGCAAGATACTCGACGATGAGTATCTGGCGGGACTGTGGCGAGGTTCCTTGATTGAGGGGTTGTGTTGGCAGCCATTGAACTGCAAGCCTGCTTCAGGAGGCTACCGCGCTCCGTCTTGGTCCTGGGCCTCTGTCGATGGTACCCCTGCGACAGGATTCTTGGGGGAGAGTGTACCTCATGCGGAGATCATCGAGACAAAGGTCGAAGTTGATGGCGAGAATCCATTTGGTCGCGTCAAAGACGGCTGGATCAAGCTCGAGGCCCCGCTCGTCAAGATGGTCGTGTCGGACAACAAAGGCCCGACGGGACACGTACTCCTGAGGACTGAAAAGGGCGAGACCGACTTCTACGCAATGCTGGACACGATTGACCGAGACTATGCTGCTAGTGCGAGTCTTCTCAAGGCAATGGATCTGCATGCTTTGGTTCTTACTTTTACATATGGCACGCCTTTCAAGGCTGATCCCGAGCGTAAGGACCCCTGTGCTCAAGCGCTGCTCGTCATTCCTTCGGAGGATCGACCGGACTGTATGAAGAGGATCGGGATGTTAGTTCAGGATGGAGCAGCCTTTGAGGCAGACTTACTGGCGTCTACGAAGTCTACTGTCACCTTGGTGTGAATTGTGTTAGCGAAGTGAGGATAGGGTATCATCGGTGTATTTCAGCCTGTGCGCCATGCTGTGCTGCTATATCGCTTCCCCCTACGAAGAAACGTAGTTGACAGAGGTCCCCCTGTGTTTAAATCTTGCTATGGAGACGTCAAGAAGTGCGCCTGGTTGTCTGGTCTCGCCGGCATGGAGTGCCACACGCTAATCTCCACCGTTTTGTTGATCCCCCCCAGTGATGTCGATTCGATTCCATCGAGACCGATGTTGGAACTTGACGGACCAGCGCTGATGATGTCCTCCTGGGAACTCGTCCGCCTGCCACCGCGAACCTCCACCAGCCTCTCGCTGTGTTGCGTGGCAGCGTCCCAATCGTTCGGCTTCTGATATGATGCAAACCCCCTAAGTGGCGGTCGGCTTGGCTCTGTTGGGTGATAGACCTGTGTCGTGAAGACGAGTTTAGATGCCAGAATGTCAATGCTACTCAGAATATGTTCGTTAGCAGCAACTCGCATTACGTGGGAGTATCGGAGTATTACTCACAACATGACCACAGGGAATAGACATTCTAGTGTATATGCGAAGCGATCAATCTGGCTCGCCGCATTCGTCGCACTTTGGGCCGCAATCTGGAATGAATATGTGACGGCTCGCATGGTTCCAATCACAGCCAGTGTGGCCACCCGGACTTCAGTGCTTCGCATGAGGTATTTGAACAAGCCTCCCTTCAGAGCTGCCCTCAAGGATGTCGATTTGACTTCAGCAAACGTCTTAAGCAAAAAGAAGGAGCTCATACATTCAAGGGAAGCTATGAGAACAAAGTAACCGATGTGTAAGTTGTTGACGGTGTTTTGCAAGTTCGTATTACCCCTCAAGATGAATTTGGCGCGTGAGACGGCGATCATGATGCGGATTGATATGATTGAGAGAACCATGATCCAGAACAAGCTATTGAAGATCTTCCAGCTCAGGTCCTTGAGAATTCTTCGGAGAAGGACGTAGCTATAGAAGGACAATCCGACTTCTTGAATCTAGAGGCAAGGTTAGTGCACGCAGACCGTGGCTGAAATCCAACCTCACCATCCAAAATATATCACCAAACACCGAGGCTGCAGCTTTGCTTTTCAGTGAGTACGTCTCATCGTAAAATGCATAGTAGCAAAGCCCGTTGGCGATGGCGCCAGCAGCTGACGATATGATCGGCACCGCGGTTATCTGAGACAAGGTTGTGATTCCGACGATGAGGAAGCCAAGAATCACGTTGGCGGCACCAATGGTACTCAGAATCGACCAGCTCAATTCGAAATATACCGGCAGGAGCGGCGTCGACATGTTGGCGCTACTGGAGCAACTAGATGTCTGCTCGACTGTCGCATGGCTGTTGCGGATGTAGGAGGCGGTTCAAGAACCTGTCGTCGCGAACGCTTTACACGATCGGTCTCGCGCTTAATACTCTCTGCCTGGCAAACCTAGTGGTATCGGCCGGCGTTCGACTCGCATGGTAACCACTTGAAGTTTTCGGCGGCAGGGTGTCAGAAACATGCAGCCTGGAACTCTCCCTGGCGAATCGCTCGGCAGCAAGGCGATTTATTTCGCAATCCGGCAACTTTGGTGATGTTAAGAGCGTTCGAGACGTATTGATCATGGTCGACCCTTGTCCCCAAACCAATGTGGCCGAAGTCTTTTTTGTGAAACTTAAGGATGATAGGCTTGGCCTCTGCTTCGATAAAAGTTTTCAGGGTTCAACATCGGAAAGTGCACCTAATTCCCAATCCAGTTCTTCGTAAACATGGGACAATGCCCTGTGCTTCCAATCGTCGGAAGAAGGCTGCTCAATTGGCAGCCTGATGTCTCTCATGGTTTACACCAGCGGTGATGATTGCCATGTACGTGCCTCTTATCCACTTCAGTGATGAGGTTGGCACCTATTTCTACTTCCACTGTCTAGGAAGAGTTGCGAAAGTTCGAGCACACTAGCTACTACCTTATGAACCGGTGACTGCGACTGGCGGCCGATTGCCCGACGTCCCCAGAGTCGGGTGTTAGAGTTCGAGGCACAACACCTCGGACTATACAGAAAGCTTAGAGCACCTCATAACCATGCTCGAACCCCGCTTCCCTCACCAAATGTTCGTGCAGGGGGACTTGAGAGAGGGAGGCACCCTGTCTGGCGATCAGAAACTACTGCATGTGTTCACTCCATACATCGGCCCCGAGACCAATGTCAGGAGGTGGGGAGTTGTTGGTGGGGAGTTGTTGGTGGCAATTTCTTGTTGCCTACCAAGTGCCTACTTGGTGTTCCATCAAGAGAACGGCGGCATATGTAGACGCCGCACAGGTATCGCAGCAGGGGAACTGAGGATGAACATGACCATGATAACAGAAAGACGCAAGGAAGACGAAAAAAAGACGGCTAGCTTACGGTATGAATCCACCTTAGCATTCCTCGGACTTGACTCCGACAATCAAACCGGCCTTCAGAGGACCCAGCTGACAGCGGGTCTGGGCGGCTCCAGGTCTGACAATCCTCCCCAATATGTACATGCACAAACAACAAGTTTGGTAGACAGTGTGTACGCAAACGTGATGTAAATGTAAGGCGTGGTATGGGGATTCAGGCAAGGAGGAGCTTTGTGGTTGTCAGAGACGACTAAACGGATGAACGACGGCGAAGTACGTTTCCGTGTAGCATGTGACGAGGGGTCTGAGTCGTGTAGATGTAAAAAGCATGTTCGCAGGGAACGATAAGCTTGATGCTGGTGATGGAATTGAAGTTCAAGTCTGCGCCGCATGCCCCAAGTAATACGGCCAACGCTGTGGCAACCACCACAACCTCTTGATAACTTGACAAGGAAGACGTTGGGTGGAGGCACACATACGGAGTGCGCTACGGGACACGAACAAACTTTAATACAATCAGCTAGGCAAAAGCTTACCGGGGAGTTTCCACGATAGTTGCTGTCGCTGAATAGGGAGGACCTTTGATTCACGTTCGGGCAGTTGATGAACATCAAGATTTTAATTTCATTGGTATCATTACGTCTCTGACAACAAGCCGCCATGGAGATATCCAATCGTGCCACATAAACTTCCCACCCGAACTTGTACCCAAGACGCCTTGTGCAGAGGTATGGAGGTTATCTCCCATACCCCAACCCGCCTCGTGATCGCCTGAGCAAGCAGCCTTTTTCTTTTCTTTCTACCTGGTTCCAAACGCCTTCTTCGTTGAATTTGACTTGTCCCTCATTCCATCTTCTGACCTCAGGTTTTTCTTGTCCTGAGCTATGTCCTCGCGCTTTGGGCGGCCATGTCGTCAAGTCCGGAAACGCGATTTTCTGAGCCCATGGAGGGCATTTCTTGTTCTGCATCCATGTCGTCTAACATCTTCCAGTCGACGTAAAATTCTCCATTCATGCCGTTTGTTGGGCATGGTTGGCTATTCATCTGCATCCCTCCAGCGGAGGTCGAGGCGGAAGCTCCCCCTGCCATACTCGAGGATACCAAGTTTTGCGCCGCGCCGGAAATGTACTCTTCGATAAAGGAGCACCCGCAGCCACCGTGTTGGAGCACCATGGTCTTCAACATGAGTATCTCGCCTCGGAGCAAGGCGGCCTCATCGTTGAGGTTCTTGTTGATATTCTCAGCCATCGCTTCCTGAGTTTGCAGCTCATCAACTCCCTTCTGCTTCTTCTTTCGGCACTTGTAAGCTGCCTCTCGGTTCCGTGCGCGGATCTTGTTCTTCTTGGCTTCCGTGCCGCTGCGTTTGTCTCCAGTATCGATGGCGCCGCTCATTGATGTGTTCGAAGCTCGTCGAGTACTACCTCTCTGCCGTATTGCGCCCGCCGTCGACACAGCAGTGTCTAGTCCACCATCCTCAGAGATTCTCGGACGCCCCCTCCCTCGCTTCGGTGATTCACCTGTCTCGTTTGGCAAGGATGACTTTGTTCCGCTTGCGCTGCTCGCGGAATTGAGAATCAAAGGATCGATCGGTGGGAATTTTGGCGAGTTAATGCTGTTGTGCGGCGATAGGATGGAGCTTATTGGCGATGATAATGCCTCTGCCGCATTGCTGGCAGGAGAATCTTGCCATGGTTGAGGACCTTGACCTTGTGTTGAGGTAGACGACTGACGATCTACTTCAAACGCAGCCTCCGTGCCCAAGGCCGAGGGCGCGACCAAAGTCGCTTGTGCAGCATTGTTGTCGAGTGCTTCTTGTGAATGTTCCTGTAATTGTAGTTGCGATGGCTCCAAATCACTGCTAGGCTGGTCTTGATGGCCAGGTTAGTATGCGGTCTGAGGTACGGATACACGTAAAGTATAATTGATGAACAACCCACTTTGTTGAAGCAGGCCAACACCACTGCTAGGAAATGCCATGGTTCTCAAGCTCTCCTGTGGCTGAAATGCGACTCTTACAGGGGGGACAGCAGTGGATGGCCAGGGTTATCTCGACTCGCTAGGCTAGCCTTGGCTGGAGATGAAAGCTTAAGCAAGCAATGGTAGTATCACGAAGGCAATTCTTGGTACTAGCAATCGATTGTGCGTATTTGATGGTCAATAAGCCTTTGGAGGTTATCTGGCAAAGAACAGTAATGGTTTGGAGAAAGTCGAAATTGGCTGGAGACGAGAAACACGTAAACGCTCCGCGTCAAGGGATTCGTGACGAGGTCCTACGATCCTTTTTAAAGAACGCAGCACTTCCCGCGGAAGACGAGGTGGGGGGCAAAGAGTCTGTGGTACCGGTACTGTCCCTGGGCCCGATTAGGACAAGCACCTCATGGCACGGCGGCACCAAGGCAAGACAAGACATGGCAGGCCAAGAAGAGGGATCCTGTGGAACCAGTGCCAGTAACAAGATCGGCGTGCCGCATTTCGGCTGAGCAGTGCTTCTTGAGAAGCTCGTGGACTAATTAGCGGGGTGGCTTCGGCCGAGCTCAGCAAGGTCGAAGAGGGGCCTCGACTTCCTTGAGCTTTGAGGCCTTGCTGTCACATAACAGCTGCCGAGGCGTGGGATGTAAGAGTGTTTGCCACCATGAGAATAGCGTCTGATAGTTGAGTAGCAAAAGTAGGTAGTGTGTAGATTCCCGTCCCTCCTGGCTTCACCCGGCTACATCAAGATACAACTAGTATGACGGGAATCTGCTTCTAAGAAACCCTAGGTGCCTACCTAGGTGTTGGTCAGGGATGATAGGGGTGGATTGTCAACTACTGGAAAACAAGGGGAGGTGTTTGCAATGTCAACATGTACGATGACGGGGCGCCACGGTTACCGTAACCTGCTTTCGTTTGTAAAGCAGGGGGGGTGGGGTTCCGGAGCTTTTCTCCGGGCTTGGAGTTGTGGATTGTTGAGTCTTTGGTTCACGGAGTGTTTTCCGTAAGACAATCAGCCAATACGGAGGTGCGTCTCAATAGTCCTTGCAGTTGCTGCCAAGACCAACCCCTGCCATAGACAGGGGAGTCGACAAGGGGCTGGCTAGGGTGTGTACAAGCGGCAGATTTCGGCCACTTCCACCCACTGTAATTATCGTCAATTCAGCGGTAAAAAGTCGTCAATTGAGGTCAATTAGTGGTCGTTTGACGGTATAATCCAGCCCGACGACCCTCTTTGTATTCATTGCCGCCCTCTAGGGCAATTATCTGTTGGATGTGGTGAGGTACCCTTTCTATCCATTTCTGGATCTCCTCTTGCGGTAATGCTTTCCAGCACTCTTGCCAGCGACGTACTGCTTCGGCCCGTGACGAAGGCGCCCCCTTCCTGGTGGTCCATCTCTTCATCCACGGCCAGCAAGGTTCAATGGGATTGAGGTCGGGCGAATTACCCGGCCAGAGAAGCTTCGTAATCTCGAAAAGGCTGTACGTATAGTGGGTGAAGTGATGGTCGTGAGCGGGTGCCTTGTCCTCTTGTACGATTGGATTACCAGGTAATCCTTTGATATAAGGGAATAATTTGGGTAATAGGATCTCTTTGCGGTATCTGTACCAGTCAATTCCGCCCTTGCCGTTCCGTATTAACTTGCCCGACTTCGCATTCCAATTGAATTGGGGCTTACGGCCCGGTTGGTTCCGTAAGCCCATTCGCTCCATACCACTCTCGAGCTCCCACTGTTGACGTCGAACGGGCTCGAGCTCTGCGTTAAGCTCGGTAATCACTGCGTCGGCAGCCTTCCTCTCAGCAGCAGTCTCGGGAATCCAACAGTGGCACGGCCCTTTCGAATCGTATGAGAAAGACCCCCAAAACATGAATTCGGAATAACCCTTCCACCTCTCTCGTATGCACTGCCTAGAGTAGGCCTCGTCTGGGCGACGCCAGAGCTTATAGCTACCGCGGCGGTGGTTGAGGGCAACCGCGGTCTCGTCTGACCATACAACCCGCTTCCAATCGTCGAGGGTCCAGTATTGGTGGTCGAGGCACCACTTAAGTCGCTCTTGCCGCATCCTTTTCGTTAAGCCTGGCTTGCGGGTTGGTTTGGTCTTGTGGAAGCCATAGCGACGAAGGATTCGCCAAACAGTCATTGCAGATACGTCAACGCCCTCGTCCCTTAATAGGTCCCCAGCAATATCAGTACAGTTCTTTTCACGCCCATACCGGTCGCGGCAGACCTTGCGGATGACGGCATCGTTGACCTCTTTCGTCTGTTTGGTTGGACGGCCACTTCGGGGGGCATCTTCGTAATGGGCGGGCTCAATCGAGAAGGTAGGAGCAGTTGGGTCGAATCCGTTCTTTTTTGCGCGGGCAAGAACGTCGTAAACAGTTCGAACTGGAATTTCTAGAGCCTGAGAGACCTGTTCAGCAGTCCACCCAACAAGTCGACTTCGTAGAGCAAGAATCACTGCCCTGACGCCTGGATCTAGCTTCTTCTTTGTCGGCATCTCAGGATCCATACTGAGGAAAAAAGAGCAGCGTAGTAAGTAGCGATTTGGCGGTTTTGATATTATCGTAGGATTAGTGGTAGTATCGTAATGGCGGTGTATGGGGTAAAATCGTTGCTATGGGCAGTGCTGGGGGGAAAGTAAGTAAAGTGGGTCAAGATCAATCCCTAGGCTCTTATTGGTTCAGATGGGCAGTAATTGTGGGTCTGGGGCTTGGCAGCGACTGCAAGGACTATTGAGACGCACCTCCGTAGACATGTCGAGAAGAGTCGATTTGATCAGAACCATGTGTTGAACCGGAAGCTCCTTGACGTTGCTTGACTAGTTGAGCCCTTGCAAGTTACAGTCCACTAATTAAGATGGAATTCACCTCTCCCCCTCGAAACCTCCGCTCGTACACGCTGTCCATGCTCAATCATTCCCGTACCATACCCACTGTGCCACTTTGATCTACCATCCCGAGTGTCCGAGGAATGCCATTGGACAATTCCCAGAGGAAGCAAATCAGAAATGTGGCTTGCCTGAGTGGCAAACTCGCAAGGAAGAGTGTGCCTCGGAGCCCCGGCTGGACGCGACGACGAGCCACAGTTTCGACCCCGCGAAGCAGGTCAAACAGGCTTTCATCTTACATGTGCCGTCGCAGCCACGAGCAGGTGAGCATCAAATGGCCCTTGAAATCTCTGGGCTGTTGGCGATTCTCCACCACTGCGTCATCACTGAGTTGCTTCATTTGGGAGACCCTTCGTTTGGAAGACGAGGGTTCTTCTCCGCGGCCCCAATCGCGACGATTCCTAGATCAATTGCATTGTCAGTTAACCATTGAGAATCCTGGAATCCTGGAATCCTGGGACCGCATGCATCCTATCTATGCGGCTTGCCAATGTGTCCGTGGTGTTTTACACTCCAATGAACGGGCCTTTCTGAAGTCCAAGATGACCTGTAAACTTCAATGGAATTTCTGATTTCGATTTGAAAGAATCCCATTCTGCTTAGCGATCACAATTCTGGACCACCGCTCGACGCTAGTTTAGCGTATGAGAGATCGTCTTCTCCTCGGAGCACATTCTCCACGGACATTGAAAATTCTGCCCTTGTTCCTTCAATCCTTTCCACCCGTGTCACTCGTTCCACCCTGCCGACAGGAGGTGTGGTGCAGTTAACCCTCTTGCGGTGCTGGTAACGAGCAGTGCGAGCAGTCACATAGGTATCGGAGTTTGGGACAACTGCTGCTTTCGCCCTCAATCATGCCACCCTTATCCTAACGTACTTGGCCAGCCCGCCGATATATAATTGGCTTCGTGTACCCGTATTTCACCGCAAATCTCTAGCGTGCAGTCACAAGGGAAGAATCTAGAGCCGAATAAATCGCGAACCACTGTTGGTCCTCTCCGGCCGGGCCGGTCGGCCTAGTCCGCACAAGTTTCACCCGGATATCAGACTAGCCCCAGAAGTGAGGGGCTTGGAGATGTTTCTAGCTTATCCCGCACCGCTTTCCAAACTTTAACCATAACAAAAGGTCGTCCTCAGCTACCTATGTATGCGCAGTTCAGTGTCGTTAGCTTGAGCTACATCATGCTGTGGTTGATCCGACACTTGGATGTCGGACCGCATTCTTCTAGGATACATGCCACGGATAGAAACCGGAAAGCGCTCCGACCATTGGAAGCAAAAGTTCCAGACTCACCGAGCTCTTCCTAGCAATTTCTGCATTTTAGAAGCTATGAAGTACCTCGGCCTCACGACAAAAGCCTCGCCCTACCCACCTCACTTATACCACGCTTTTCGTAATCGTTTCAAAGCACTGTTTTACGACATGTTCGACCCCGCGACTTGCCAATACTAGACTCTGTCGTGATGCCAACGTCTGAGCTACGCTGGACACGTTTCCCTGAGATGAACTGACCTGTACCTCTCCAACAGGACCCAACGAAATTGTGTCGAGCGGAAAGTCGACGCAATCGGGGTTTGAACATCGGACGATAGAGATGAACGCCGTTATGGGATAGTACGGTGGTGTTCGATCTAACCTCTATGTGCGACGACTTCTCTAGGCGCAATTGACGTCGCCTTTTCTTTCGCTATCTTCACCAGAAGCGATCGGGTGTCGGAACAAATTAAAAAATACGCTACTTGAGTTCCATTCATCTGCATCGGAGACCAAAGACTCGTGAAAAAGGGTTAAGTGATCATCACAGGTGAGGTTGGGAACGTGCCATTAAGCTCTATCGTGCCAAGGCCACCCGTACTAGACAAGTCGATACCAAGCGATACTCTCTTGACTCGATGTTTGGATTCCTTCTATGGTCACCCAGGTCAGATATCCGGCCGCAGCTGTTGAATCGGGCCTAACCTTGACTTGCTGTGTTTCATTCAACCATCATAACCAACTGTACAGCCGACGCCGGCGCTGATCAAATGTGATAGCTTCAAGTCGACCCCCCCCCTCAACTTACGTCAACTTTGGATACCCCGTCTTGAAGACATTCTCTGGATCAAACTTCTGCTTGATCTCGCTCAGCCTTGATAGCGTGTCCTCGCCGTACGTAGATATCCAGTCCGTATCCTTCTCTGGGCCAAGGTTACGATTCCCATAAGGAAGCATTTGACCTTGCTCCGAGAGGGAGTTCACCAGATCATCTGCCCACTTCTTGTATTCCTCATATTCCGCCGCCTGTGCTGTAGTATCAATAACACCACCCGACGGAGCTGCTATGCGATGCCTCTTGCGTAGAGGGTAGCAGACCGCCGGATTCGCCTCGATCGCTCGACCATGAGCGGCATGAATGACAGTGGCCGAGGTTGCCCCCGGCGGTGAATTGTTGCCAAACGCACTGGCGATTTCCGGGGTGAAGCGTTCGAACATTCTCAAGCGAGGATACCAGTGGACGTTGATAGGCGAGGGGCCTGCGTTAAAGAACGTAAAATCGTCGACTGTAAGGTTTGCTAAGCTGTTGCCCTCTGCAGTGAAGGGATGGTGTACATACCTTCTGCCACCGTATTGAGAACTGGTGTGCCAAGAGACTTCATCTTTTCCAAGAAAGCCCAGCCTTCTTTCAGATCATCGTTCTCTGACGTCCAAGCAAACAGCCAGGAAAAGACGGGACCAATGCCGGGAAGAGCCATGTGAGTAGCTTCGCCAGTGAAGTTCATCGGCAAATCCTTCTCGAATTCACCAAACTTCTCCAACACTTCGCCAACTTGATCATTGGGAAACCCGAGGAAACCAGCCAAGAAGCCTGTTTGGGGATATACCTTGAGCTGTAGCTCGACTACGACACCAAAGTTGCCATTGCCAGCGCCGCCAAGAGCCCAGAGCAGGTCTGGATAATTCTTCGTGTCAACGATGTCGCCATTCGCGAGAACCACACGCGCACTGAGGATTTGGTCCGCGCCTAGCCCATGGTAGGCGCTCGTGTAGCCGTAACCACCGCCCATAGCCCAGCCAGCAATGCTGACAGTCGGACACCAGCCGTGGGGGGTAACGAGCTTGTGCTGTTGCAGGAAGTGCGAGAGCTTAATGCCCAGGATGCCGCCGCCGACGCGGACTGACTTCTTATCTTTGGCGACGACGATGCTGTCGAGGCTTCTCAGGTCTACGATGACACCATCTTTTCCCTGTGCCTGGCCGAATGTCAAGTCGTGCCCGCCACTCCTGAGGCCGAATGGGATGCCCTGGGCTTTCAGCTCTTTGACGATGGCCACGACCTCGTCTTCGGTCCTCGGCCGAATGATTGCGAAAGGCTGTTGGGTCATGTTCGCGTTGAAGAAGCTTCGAACTTCCTCATACTTCTCGACCGAGCTCGTATATACCACAAGATCGGGGAAGTTTGTAATGAGGTTTTTCAGCTTAGGCGCGTCTGAAGCGATCTGCTCCAGCGTCGATGCCTTTGGGTGAGAGCCCCGAAACTCTGATGAAGCTTCAAGTGCTGCCATTGTGTTTGTATTCGTGCTATCGATTGCTGATTGCCATTGCGAAGCATGGGGTAACAAGGGCGCTTATGTATATCCCGTGACTGCCATGCGCGGAAGGGAACCTGCTGCCAAACCATACTACAGCTCTCGTTCAGGGATCTGAAGAAACGCTGTCAATTGGACAGGAACCCGAGAATATCGAGCGTGGTACCGTGGAGAAGGGGCCGGGTATGCTGACGTGAGATGGAAGCAGGGCAGTGTGTGGTTTCTTGACGAAAGTCCCCATAAGAGGACGCGTTCGAATGGGGACATGGCCACGTCGCGATCGGAAATAGCGAGGTGATAATCAATCAGCTATCAAATCTCTTGCGAGTACGATGTGCTCCCCGCAGAACTTAATGGAAAGGAGCCGTTGTGATACGTCGAGGTCTCGAGCTGTCAAGAAGCATGAGAGGGCAAAGGTAGCCTGGGCATCACCGGTGTATATTGGCAATCAGCGGCTCCCACAAGCTTCATGCCGTCTGCGTTGAGCCTGACAATATTCGGCACACCTGTGCTGTCCAAAGAAAGGCAAGTCGACCCCTGCATAGGTGGCGTATGCTTGTGTCTCAAGACCGTGTTCAAGTGCTGGCCCTGGGTATTTTGGCGATGTGCAACACTAGCTTTTCGAAAACCTTAATACCGGCAGAATCATGAACGTTCTCGGTCCAAATGACCTCCTCGAGCTTGGCCTTGGCTTCGGGCCATGTAGGTCCTAGAGAGTCTCGCAGGTTGGCTATTTTTGGCAAAAGCCAACGATCGTCTTCCTCGCCCAATACGGATATAGCACCGATTATAAGACTCCAGGCCAGTAAGAGTTTCGTGGCAGCGCATGTGGATGCTGAGATCTCAAAGTTTTTGCATGCTGACCTGAGCTTGGTAGCCAAAGAGGTGAATTGGAATTTGGCTCCTTGTACTTGGAGGAAGAGGGTGGTGATGTAGCTGATCATCCCAAGGCGACCAAGTTCGGCCAAGGCATTATGTGCCGTCGTCTCCGAATACAACAGACGGTATTGGACGCAAGTCATAAACTCCTGAAACAGGTTTGGGTCAATCTTGCGATTGGTGTGGTATAGGGCGGTTGCCAGGCGGGAGAAGTCGTGGAGATCTTGGAAGACGTTGCCCAAGCGACTATCGGCTGCGTCCAAGACAAGCCGTATGCTTGAAGAACCAGGGCAGATCTCAGAACCAACGGGGAATTGGCCGAGTATCGGAGAGAAAGCAGGTTCCCACGAGAACGTATCCCGGAAGTAGAGCGGTTTCTCGCCAGTGCATAGACTCCAACCAATGTCGACCCTTTACTTTGTCAGACTTTGTACATGATTATCGAGGAATAACACTTACCGACAGATCTTGACCTGTAACTGTAGATTGTGAGAAAAGCTTTCGATTCCGCCCCTGAGTTTTACTATCTGACGCATGCCTTGGATATGAGCGGCGGCATTGTCGCGCTGTCCGAAAATTTCGGCCACCATGCACATGGACACAATTGTGGCGATGGTCGAGTCGGCCAGGGCCATGTCTTGACTTGCGATGTTTTGGTTCAAGAGCTGGAGTGTTTTCCAAATGTGGAAGTTAGTGTGTTTGCTTGCACTCTCTCCTTTAACAGTGTCCTGCATCAGCCCGACCGTGAATAAGATGGAGTGCAAAAACGCAGCATCTGTTAGCAGCCAGTAGAACCACGGAGTCTTGCTCTCGTCGTATTGCAGACACCATTCAATGGGGTACATCGTCTCTTTGACGACGGCGTAGACTATGACTAGATGAGCATAATGACGAATCCAAGGCAAAGGCCAAACTCACATTCGAATAGCATGCCCCGGGAGGCAGTGTCAATATCGTCGGCAAATTGGAACATGTACAGGTCATTGGGTGTGCGGAATACATGCTCGAACCATGCAATCTTGTAGAGTTTCTGCTTTCTCGGCTCTTTAACAAGTGCAGAGAGTGACTTGGGCGCAGGTGGTTCCTCTGGTTCCTCTGGAGGCTGTGGGCTAGCCTTGTTGACCCATTTCGTCGAGCGCTTTTGGCCGCCGCGAGACGGGCGTGTATTCTTGCCTCGCATGACATGGCTGCGGATGAGTTTGCGGTCGTCTGGCTTGGGCTTTCCAGACGTGTCTGTGATGACAAAGGCGAAGCCCTTGCTGGCTGCAACGGTGATGTTAGACTAGATGACCATGGGTAGATGGATTGGAGATCATACTAGGCCGTTTCTGGTTCACCATCTTCGACCAGCGGGTCTTGGAGGTCCTGTTACCTCTTTTGGTGAATTATCCAGCGGGGTGCCCTCTCAGGTGATCGATGATAACGTAACAGAGACCGGACGGAGCTAATATGAAAGCCAAATCAACCTGTGAGATGCTCCTCGGGTTGGGATTAAGATGGGAAGTTCGGCAGGTTGGAAGAACTGTTTACCCAAAGGGGAAAACAATCGAGGAAATGGGCAACGGAGCGTTCAAAGGCAATGAAACCCATGCGTAAGACGACCGGATTTACCATGCAATCTTGCCTTGTCCCGACCCAATGCCCCCTCACTACGCAAAGGTAAGCCGGCTTGACGACCAAAGTCCTTCCGCTGAGCACTGATTGTTGCCTTCTTCCGGCCTAGCGCCGATCCTTCCGGCCGCTGCCCCGCCTTCTGGCGGCCGCTCCGCCACGTGATATCCGGCGATGAAGTGGACCAATTCAGTGGTGGAGGGTCCAAACACGCCGTCCTCCCATCGATTGCTTTCCGGTCTTGGACGAGCTGTGTTTCTCGTTTTGATTGATGTCCATGTTAGGTAACCAGTCGGTCTTCCCTTTCGAGACAGCAGTCGATCACCAGGCGTTCACGATGCCTCAACTTCAGCCAACCGTAGCGTTTCGACGCCCCTGCTCTACGGTTCACCCACATCCAAGACTGCAAAAATGCCTTACTTCTCTAGATTGAAGTTGGTCATACCTAAGACGACTTGATAGCTATATATTCAGTATGCCTTCCACGATGAATTCCAATATCCTGCTCTACACAGATCAATGCAATCAAAGCAACCATAGCAACACCAACACCAACACCAACAACCATCTCCTTCTTCGCCCATCACCTCACAAGCCATTATGACGAGCTCACTTGAACTCCCTCCCCTGAACATGGGACCAGGCAGACTGTTCATAAACTCTCAGTTCTGTGCCACGGCCCGAACGCCACCAAATGACCTCTCCCTCTCCGGGAAGACGGCCATCGTTTCGGGAGCCAACATCGGTCTGGGCTTCACTGCCGCACGCCAGATGCTCGACCACAATCTCTCACGCCTTATCATCGCCGTTAGATCCGCTGAAAGAGGAGAGGCTGCTGCGAAGACCCTGAGAGCAAGTCATCCCGACGCTACGATCGAGGTCTGGTCTCTGGACATGCTCTCGTACAAGTCCATCCAGGACTTTGCCAACCGTTGTTCCACCTTGTCCCGGATTGACTACGTCATATTGAACGCCGGCATGGTCCAAGAAGACTTCAGGCTCTCTCCAGCAGGCCATGAGCATGTCTTTCAGGTGAACTACCTGTCGACTGCCCTTCTCACTATCCTTCTCTTGCCAGTCTTGAAGTCCAAGAAAACTTCGGGCCAGCCGAACAGATTGACAATCGTCAACTCGGGCACTGCCTTTATGGCCAAGTTTCCGGAGCAGGACAAAGTTCCCATGATAGCCGCATTCGACGACGAGAAGGCTTTCAATGCCACCGACAGATACTCGACGTCGAAACTCCTGGGTCACCTCTTCATCATCAAGCTCGCCGAACACGTCCGAAGGGAAGATGTCGTCGTAAACCTCGTCGATCCGGGTCTCTGTAAAGGATCAGGACTTCACCGCCACGTCGGTAGCCTCATCAAAACGATAGCGGAAGTGGGAAAGAGCTTGACGGGGAGAACTCTGGATGTTGGGGCGTCTACATACCTTGATGCAGCTGTCGTTAGAGGAGAAGAAACTCACGGAAGCTATCTGATGGATTGGAAAATCTTTCCGTAAGTGCTGACTACCCACGCTCTTTCGTTGATGCTCTCGCTAACACTCGCTGACAAAGCTTTGCCAACTTCATCTATACGCCACAGGGCAAGACCGCTCGAGAGCAGTTGTGGGAGGAGACTTTACAAGAATTGGACTTTGCTGGGGTGCGCTCGATCCTTCGCTCCATGCAGTAGGACTCTCGATAAGGACCTCGCTTCCTTCTGGGCCCTTTTATCCCGCCAGCCTGGGGCTCTGGCATTACCTGGGGCACATGTTGGGTCATATGCAGAAAGTCTAATTGCTGATTGATGCAGTGGACTCGGATGCAATAGCTCCTGGTGCCAGTCTAACTGCTTTCTTGCCGCGTTTCCGATTAGGTGTACTGGGTTGGCTTCGCTTAGATATCTCGTATCATCTTTGGTCATCAGTATTCTGGTCTACATAGAGTAATGAGTTAATAGTTCTACTTCCGTACTGATTTGTCAGTTACAAGAACGCCCGCCTGTGAACACCTCGACTAAAAAAAGTCTGTCATCATGTCTAGCTAGTGGTAGCGTTACAATCCCGTGGCGAACCGGTATGGTGGCAAGTCGTGATCCGGAAGGAGAAGATGAGCATCACGACGCCCTTCTCTCCAAGGCTTCAGTAGATGAATCACAGCTTGGGATTTGTCTTTATCTTGAAGTCTCTACCTTCATATCGGATGAACCGCCCGTTACGACACAAGCGGCCAGGACAGGAAGCCGTAGCGGGTGTGCATACGGAGGCGAAAGCTCACCATAAGGCGCAAGATCGTCGATATACTGCGGCTTTATCGGTACAGTTCACATTATCTTGCACCTTCTCGCAGTCCACGAAAGTCTGGTCTTGGTACTGAAATCCTGCAGCCTGGCCACAGCAAGTCCTTGCTTCACATGGTAGCTTTTGTTAAGGTGCCTCACCACTTTCTCACCAACGGTGTGGCAAGACACCTTCTTAGTTGAGATGGTACGTCGTATCGCTGCCACATCTGAAGGGGGCCAGGCTCGGCTTCCCCACAGATGAGCGAGCTTGCAACTTTGCCAAATCTGTACAATGCTCGAAAGAACAATGGCATGGTGACTCGTGAGAACTAGCAAACGGTCAAATCCTTAGGCCTTGACGATCTGACCTTTTGGATGGCTCACGATAGAGTAGCACCGGTTGAGTGGCATCACCGAGCTGTCGGATGCGTTCACATGAGGTTTGTCTACGTCTTGAGACGACAGTGATATCGCAGCTGAATACCAGCGGCGTATGGTTCGTCCCCTCGACTTGTACGTAGCTGAGCGATGAAGCGGTACGATGACCATTTTCGGGCCTGCGCCCGCTGCCAAGGCGCCGCATTATTTGTAAGGAAGCATCCAATAGACCTCTCTGCAGGCCAAGAACAGTCTGCGCCAGGGGATCGCTGCGAATGATCCTAGAATGAACGACCCTGGTGATTCCGCGCGATGGGTGTCTGTCAACTCTCTAGAATCCAGGCGCAAACGATAGGGGCGATTCTTCAGGTCGCCCAGCGAAACAAGTCCCAAGACTTTTCCAAGACGGCAAGATGCGCCCATACGAAGCATTGGCATCGCCAAGGAGAAGCCAAGTTGCCGCGAACCGAGGTTTTTGAAGTGGTTTACGCATCGTGGGTCTTGAAAGAAGCTTCGTTCGAGCCTCTCCAACGCGGAGGTCCTGGTGAATGTCAAGAATTTCATTTCTCAAGGAAAGTGAAAGTAATTCTTCAATTCCGTCAAACGCCGGTTCTGATTACTTGGAAAAAGCCGTCAGCACCAAAGGCTAAAGGCGAGTCATTAAGTTGTTCAGCGCCAAGAGGCCATCCCGAACTCACATTCAGATACGGAAGCTTCTTAACAGTCGGCCAAGCACATGACTGGCGTTTCCCGACCATAAGGATGCGAGCCGTTCGCGAGGATTCATGAATTGTCCACGGGCTGCCATATCTGCCGCCACGCCGCCAGAGGAGCAAGAAATGGAACCCAAGAACGGCTCGCGATGGCCCAGCGCGGAGTCGCGCCGCACAAACGTCCCTGACGTCTCTTGGCACGCTTGAGAAGGTACTTTGTTTCAAGCACATAATAAATGATAAGGGATCACGCGCCTATTGCGATAACAGTGGAGGGAATCACACCTTGTCAGGTTGGCCAACAACCCTTGATGCAATGGCAACGCGGATGTGCGGAGTACCCAATCGCAGCGTCGGTTCTTGACCTGCCGAAAGAAGAACAGTGCCGGTCGGGAACCTACCACCCTCGTACATAGACGACAAAGCAACGGACGGGAAAGCTGCTGCTTTGTTGCGCGTGTACGTCTTGAAAATGGCGGGTGGCTCGTCCCTGCAAGCCAAGACTCCAATGCCACAGGGGAAACGTCGCGGCTGGCTGTGAATTTCGAGGGCTTATCGTAGCTGGCGCAAAAGCATCATGTTCCGGGGGGGGGGGGGGGGGGGGGGGGGAGTTCCGCATCGGCAGTCCTACCGGCGACCATCAATGATGCTTCTTTCGTATCCGATGCAAGTCCGACACCTGTCTGGAGTTGAGATGTTAAGTTAACTTGTCGATGTTAACCATCCCGGTGACCAAGTTCTGCAGAGTAAGTGAGGAGAAAGATAGATCCGTGAGGGCATGTCGAATCCTACACCACGAAATCGATAGCAATCTGGCCCAAAGTGCACGGAATGGCTAGCCAATCCTACTGCAGAACACTGACAGGGATGACTGATAGGACGCGTTGCTTGATCCATTTAATAAGCTGCCGATGTTTGGCGCCAGTCTGGTTCGAGCATGGATGGTGGCCGTCAAAAAGTTCCTCCAGAAGCAGTGTTCTGCGTCCCTCACCCCGCCCACCTGGCTGAAGCTCCGAACACAGATCAATCAACTTGCCACCTTGTGGCTGGTCGGATGATACGACTCTCCTCTCTGTCCACGTCTTTTGAATGATCAATATAGTTGCAAATCCCCCGTCCATCTGGCCGATAAGAGTTGGAGAGACGGAGCTGGGGTGAGGAGAGGGAACAGGGAACAGGGGTTATCTCCGTTAAGGAGCAGGGCTGCATTTTGGAATGAGAATATCCTCTGCCTCTCTGAAGCGTCAACTCTGATGTTGTTGAACAGTCTTGAGGCTCTGATAGCTTCAACACCTCTCTCTCGGGCTGCAGAGATGGTGTGCAGTTGTGCGGATGGCGACAAGTTTTCGGGCAAGATCTCTTGATTTTTCTTGTCCTTCTTGATGGTAGGTCTTGGACGTCTTGGAGGCTCTTGGAAGACCTGGGGGGATGTCGTGAAAGTCTTGGGCAACGGGCTTGGGAAAAGCTTGGGGTTCTTGGGGGTTCTTGGGAGAGGCACGCCACGTCCAGGGTCCTTCGATCATATCCTTCTTGAACCATCACCGCGAGCTGCCAAGCGCCTCGAGTCGTCTCTGCCGTCGACTAGCGCATCAATGGGTTGAAGGGAGAGCCAGAAAAAGGACCGAGGGCTAATGAGTCGAGTGGCTGTACCCTCTCAGTCTCTCTCACAACCAGCCATCCCATCCACACCATCCAGCCAGAGGATGAATTACCCGTTTTCCACCAACCTTCCGTGCTTCTTCGACGCCATTTTGACGGTGCCTCCCGCACTCGCCTTGCTGCGGCAAACACCGCTGGAGTGTTGTAGTGTAACGTCGTGGCTTCCGACTAGCTCGTCTCTTCGTGCATTGGTGAGGTGCTTTTGCATTTGCATTGTCGTGCCCGCCAGCTGAGCGAAGCGAAGCGGCACAGCAAACGTAACCAGTGATAAGCTGGAAGGACTCGAAGCCTATTCGTAGATTCGTACGTAGAGATATGTCTCGATGGAGGCGCGATCGATTGATCGATACCCTCTGTCTTTCACAAAGCCAGGCTGGCGCCGATGGGATGCCTCTCCACTGCGTCTCTCGCCGTGGGCTCATTTCCAACCAGCTCACAGACTTTCTTCATTCTTCCGGAGCGGCTCCCTCCCACATGCCAGTGGGTAATACTTTCACACGCGACAGTGCACGGCCAATGCCGAGAGGGATCCCCGGATTGGAATACCTCCCTCAGAGTCGGACAGTCAGCTTGCCACCGGCATCCCCCCGCCACTGTCATATTGCCTGCTCAGAGTCTGAGATTGGATATCGACAGGGCAGCATGGATCGGGTGTCTTTGTGCCGACACGGCCAACTCTAGGTATTCCTGAGAGACCTCGATCGACATTGCGAGTGAGACACGGCCTGCGCCTCTTTGTGAAGGCGGGTGTGTCGCACCACGATGAAGCCATCGCGATTACGACGGGGGGCGGATTCGCCAAAGACCCAACCACGCCAACGACCAAGACTCCATTGGCAGAACAGTAGACTGGATCTCGCGAAGGCTGCAGCCGCATTCGCTGACGCTCAAAAAGTCCCCCAAAAGCCCTCCCCCCTCTATTGATATCTTGGACCTGCCATACTGGATCAAGCCACTCGAGGGCCCAACTGCTTGGCATCGCCAGCGGAAGCGCATTTGATCTCCCGAATGGGAGGTTTCCTGCGTGTTGGCCGCCTTGCCTGGTCTACGGAAAAGTCCAGCACCAGTAAATGTTGGTGGGCATGTTCTCCGGAGAGGTAACCAGTCGTGCCAGGTTCCCTCATCTCTGAAGGTCCATCCGCGCTGTGGGTTCCTGGGTGCCGAATGCAACTGGACCCCTGTGGGTGGCCGGGAGGAGGAGTGGGAGGAGGTGGGGTTTCCTTTCCGCCCATCGGACCAGGACTGGGAGACTGGAGTCTGGAGGAGACCAAGGGAGAAGAAGGCAGAAAAAAGACGAACTGGGCGGGCATGTTAGCAAGTCATCTCAGACGTTTGGTTCATTCAAAGAAGTTCCTGTATCCGTACGTACCGGGATAAACGCTGTGATTCTTACCGGTCTCTCTCATTCTCTCTCCTTCTTCATGTCATCGTCTCACAACCTCTCATCTCATCCTATTCTTTCATTGCAGCAGCCCCCCGGCAGATTGCGCCCAATGCGGATATAGTGCGAATGCAGACCGATTCCTCCTACCGCGTCCTAGAACCTTTGATATCGGTCTTGTCGCAATGCAGAAGGTAGAGCTCCCTGTCACAAGGGTTACACTGGGGCCCTCCGGCCGCACAAGCAGAGAGGGAGGGTGACAGGCTGGAGTTCCAGCCCTGAACATGATCATCCCTGCCACCTCAACGCTGATTCCAGAAAGGGGAAGCTCGACTGGCTCGACTGGCCAGTGCCATCTCGGCCTCCCATCTAGGCGCAAGGAGATCTCTGCTGTATTCTCGGGATCGTCTCGTGGCGAAACTGGGACCACCGTCGCGTCCGTTCGTTGCCAGGCCGTTGGGAACCCTTGGCTCCACCGTCGATAAGCATCCGCCGGGTGTGACAAGGATGGCCGCCTCGTGGCTCTTGGATATTAAAAGGTCGAGATGTCCTCGGTTCCCTCTACCCGCCTCTCGTCTCTTTCTCGGTCACTGGCAACTTTCCAGCCCAAGCGTCCACGGGTCCACCGAATCAACACTTCTGTACCTTACCAAGGTGAAGAACATTGACCCAGTGCAACAAAATGTCCGACATCCGTGAAGAACGGACCCCCGTCCACCAGGGCGGTGTGGTCTCGAACGAGAAGGTCTCGAGCGAGAAGCCTGCTCCTGTAAGTTGGTCTAGATGTCGATGAGCATCACACATTTCTCGATTGATGAACCACATACTGATGCTTTTCCTCAGATCGTCGAAGCTCATCCCGATGGTGCCGATTACAACGAGCACGTTGAGCACGACTTCAACGTCACCGAGGATGATTTGCTCGAGGCCAAGGAGCTCGCCTCGCAGATGTCCCTCGAGGAGGTCCGCGAGATGATGTTCAACGTCCACAAGATCCACGAGAAGGACCCCAACTTCCCTCTCGCCATTATCGAAAAGATTGAGGACTTCCTCCACAACGACGATGTCTTTGAGAACCCCGAGAAGCACGAGACTCTCATTCAGGAGATGAAGCTTGAGGCCGCCCTCATCACCGGTAACTCGCCCTACGCCGAGGTCCGCGCCGTCGTCGATAACCACGACGACCCTACCATGCCCAGTTCCACCCTCCGTGCCTGGGTCATCGGTCTCATCTTCTCTGCTCTGCTCGCCTTCGTCAACCAGCTCTTCTCGGTCCGCTACCCGTCCATCACTATTCTGGCCAACGTTGCCCAGTTGCTCGCCTACCCCCTGGGCAAGCTGTGGGAGAAGTCGCTTCCCGATGTTGGATTCACCGTTGCGGGCCACCGTTACTCGCTGAACCCCGGCCCGTTCAACCGCAAGGAGCACATGCTCATCACCATCATGGCCAACGTCGCTTACAACATCCCCTACACCAACTACATCATCTGGACGCAGTGGCTGCCCAAGTTTTTCAACCAGAGCTATGCTTCCAACTTTGGCTACCAGCTCCTCATCTCCTTGTCGACCAACTTCATCGGATACGGTCTCGCGGGTCTCTGCAGAAGATTCCTCGTCTACCCCTCGTACTGTGTGTGGCCGGCATCCCTGGTGACCATTGCCCTGAACTCTGCTTTCCACACCGACAAGAACTCCACCGTCGATGGCCCCTTCAACAGCATTTGGCGCTGGAGCAGACAGAAGTTCTTCTACATCACCTTTGCCGCCATGTTCGTCTGGTTCTGGTTCCCCAACTACCTGTTCACGGCTCTCTCCACCTTCAGCTGGATGACCTGGATCGCCCCCAAGAACCGCAACCTCGCGACAATCACTGGCTTCAACAGTGGTCTCGGTCTCAACCCGTTCCCTACCTTTGACTGGAACATTCTGTTGTACGACAACACCGACCCTCTCATGGTCCCCTTCTTCTCCACCTTCAACAAGTTCCTCGGCACCTTCTTCTCCATGTTCGTCGTGCTGGCTGTTTGGTACACCAACACCTACAACACTGGATACCTGCCCATCAACTCCAACAAGGTCTACGATCACTTTGGCGCCCTGTACAACGTCTCCCGCGCCGTCAACGAGCACGGTCTGTTCGACAAGGAGGCGTACGAGGCGTACTCTCCCCCCTTCTTGGGCGCTGCCAACGTCATGATCTACATGTTCTTCTTCGCCATCTACACCGCCACAATCACCTACGCCGCTCTCTACCACCGTCACGAGATTGCCCTTGGCTTCAAGGCCTTGATCGGTAGCTTCAGGAAGAACAGCGACATTGAGAAGGACCAGGTCCTTGATGTCCACAGCCGTCTGATGAAGGCGTACCCCGAGGTCCCCGAATGGCACTACCTCACTGTCCTCGTTATCGCCATTGCGTTGGGCTGTGCTGGTATCGCTGGATGGCCCACGTACACCACCGTCGGTGTCGTTTTTTACGGTATCATTCTCTGCATGATCTTCGTCGTGCCGGTCGGCATCATCAAGGCCATGACGGGTATTGAGGTCACCCTAAACGTGCTCGCTGAGTTCATCGGTGGTTCCTGGGTTGAGGGTAACGCCCTGGCCATGAATTACTTCAAGTCCTTCGGCTACGTCACCTGTGCCCACGCCGTCTGGTTCTCCAACGACTTGAAGCTCGCCCACTACGTCAAGATTCCCCCTCGCCACACCTTCTGGGCTCAGATTGTCGCCACTTTCGTGTCCACCCTCGTCTGTCTCGCCGTCCTGAAGTTCCAGATGTTCAGCATCCCGGGTATCTGCACCGAGGACGCCAAGTTCAAGATGACCTGCCCTGGTATCAACACCTTCTTCACCGCCTCCGTCCTTTGGGGAACTGTCGGTCCCAAGAAGATTTGGGGTGCTGGCGGCCAGTACACTGCCACCCTCCTCGGCTTCCCCCTCGGTGTCGCCATCGTTCTCTTCTTCTGGAGCTTGAACAAGTTCTTCCCCAAGTGGAAGTGGGTTCGCCAGATTCACCCCGTCGCCATCATGTACGGAGGTCTCGTCTGGGCTCCCTACAACATGTCCTTCGTCTGGCCCTCTGTCCCCATTGCCTACTTCTCCTGGGTCTACCTCAAGAGCCGCTTCTTGGGTCTGTGGTCCAAGGTTAGTTGCACCCCTGCCACCAATCCCTGCGTTTTGATGCTAACACTCACTTTCAGTACAACTTCGTTCTCTCTGCCGCTTTCTCCTGCGGTATTGCCATCTCCTCCATCATCATGTTCTTCGGCCTTCAATGGCAGGACATCGAGGTCGACTGGTGGGGCAACTCAGTCGTACGTTTTTCCCGGCTCCTGACCCCATCCACAAGTACTCATGCTAACGTCACTCTCCTTACAGGTCAGCCAGGGTTGCGAAGGCAAGGCCTGCCGTCTGCTTACTCTTGCAGAGGGCGAGTACTTTGGTCCTCGTATCGGAGACTTCCACTAGATGTGGGATCTTCTTTCGTGTAGCACAACCAAGAGGTGCTTATGGCTTTTTTTTCGAATTTCAGCGCATGTATGATGTGATGAAAAGAACGTGGTGACTAGAGATATCGCAACTAGAAGCGGTGTTATAATCAGCGGATGTAACGATTTGAAGGATGAAGAAATACCCAACCATTCATTTATGACTTAGTGGAAGAATGCTATACCCCCATTGAGCAAGCTCAGTCTCGTCGTTCCCAAATGCTTTTGAATTTCGTGACATGTGTCTTGGAATGAAGGCCCATTCAGTCGTTCTGATCCCTCGCAACTGTTTCGCCGTTGCGTCTAGAATACGCGTCAGATCCGGCAATATTGATCAGTGGTTGAACTCATGAGAAGCTGACCTCGCCTGGTGCGATTGAATCCTGGTGTACACAGCTTTCCGTGACCAGCTCTTATTTCGCGGTTCTAAACTCCCTTGAGGGCCGTATATAACGAGAATAACCAACTCCGATGCCGCGGGGTCGGCAATCGCTCGGTACCGGGCCGGCGTGGCTATGCTAAGAAAAGAAAGCCTCATTGGGTCGCTTAGATGAGACCACTATCAATCTGAGATCGTGTTGATAAAGCTCCAGGTCGGAACTTGGAGTTTGTCGACTTTGACGGCTGGTCTCTCGAACTGCTGCAGGATGCTGTTGGTGATACTGCTCCAGATGAACGTTAACCGAAGTCTCGGCTCTAGGTGTGTCAGCAAGGACTCGTTACGCTGGGGCTTTCGCATCAGTCTTATGCTGTTCTAGGCTGAAATTGGATCGAAGCATAAGTACACGTACTTGTGAGGAGTCGCTGTACACGAAGAAAGGGGGAGCGGGACCCCAGACTTTTCTCCGGGACACTGGGCCTTTCTCCATGGAACAACAACGAAGGAGTCAACTGGATTCGTGAAACAGCAGATACTCCGGCTGGAGGAACTTTGACTTTGTGCTCTGCCTTTTATATCTACCTCCGGAGGACACTGCGGCCTACGACATTCTCTTCACACGTCGGACTCCAGAATCGAGTCTAAGTAGGTTGGGTGCCGTCTGGTTGGGCACAGGTTCGGCTGAAGGATCTTTGTTGAACAGAGTTTGGGGTTTCGGAGTATTCCTTGAAGTCGTCGAGGTTTCTCTTCAGGTTTGGTGAAAAGTAGTTGTCGATGCGTGGCTTCCTAATAACAGAACCCGAGATCGACGAAGGCGCAAGGCAGGCATCAGCCATCCGCTGTAGTAATAGAAGAAGACAACAAAATCATTCTCTCAAAGAGTCAGCCTATCCAAGACAAGCCAATCTCGTAGTTTAATAAGGTTATTTGCACAACCAATCAAGAAGCCGACTGACGGCGTTTTAGGACCAACATTCGTCCGGCTTACTTGGGCGTCTTGATTGCCGACTGACTCACCGGGCGACGACCAAGCTGTCAGCATCTTGAACCTGAGTTGCCAGATTTTACGCCCTATAATCTCAAACGCATGTCTTTGTTCCTCTTTGCACAAACTTGAGTGTCGGATCTGCTCCGGTTTGGCGAGGGACATGAGATTTATCGTTTGGTGCCTTGGGCAGGCTGCACGGCGAGCTTCACCAGCCCGAGCAGGTCAACGACGCTTGCTGCCAGGATGCCAAGTCTTTGTGGATGTTTTCTACATCTTCTTGTCATCTAGAGCCGTATAAGTATGTCTTGACGGTACTTTGTTGGAAAAGTAAGCACCAGCTGAAGTCGTCCGAGCCAGGTAACGATCGAGGGAGCCAGGACATTGAACGCACGTGGCCACTTTGAGATTTTCGTTCGACCACCAGTATGGCCCGAAGAAGCTGAATCTCAGGTGGTCTTTCTTCTTGATTATAATGGCTTCAAAAATAACAGGAAGAATATCGTGGCAGCATATAGCTATGAGAGACACCAATTCCAAGTTCGGGACATCTCACTGGGCGTGACCGGCCTGCTGGTAACCTGTATAATGTGCCAATGCCTGAACTAAAGCAAGCCGAGACTGGGAAGACTGTTGATGAAGAGGAGATGAAAGGATCTATACGTGAAAAGGTATCGCATGGAATAGAGCTAAACGAATACTTGACTCGGCATGCAAAACGGTGGAGGTGGTACTCGAATAGCAGTCCTCCTCAGGTTCCTCCTCCTTCACACTCCTTCTATCCATGCAGCCGGTTTCTAGTTACATCCAAGTCGAAGTCCCTAAAATCTTCTTGGAACTGTAACAAAAGGCACGGCAGTACTAATACTGGCCAAGACATGGTTCCATAGTACTCGTCGGTCGTCGGATATTGCCTCGAACTCCGATACGGCTGGGCTCGCCTCTCTGCCCAAGTCGTCAACTCGCTCGAGATAAGACGATTCCCGGGTCATAGGAGCACCTGCCATCAACTCGTTCGTAGGGTAACGACACAATACCCAGGGAGTGGTGCTGCTGTACGCTCATTGACGCCACTTGCGAAATTAAGAGCGAGGAGGCGGACAATGCTCCTAGTCGTAGAGTCGCCTCCACCCTGCCGGCCCTGCCTGGCTCAGTTCATGTAGAAGAGGGACATCGGCTCCCCAAGATTGGTTGGGCCGAGCTATCAAATGTTCAAGGAACAATTTGGAAGCTTAACTCCTAGCCCGAGAGTTCTCATTCGTTTAGATAGAAGGTGCAGGAATGCCGTCGACGGCGGCAGCTGCACAACTGGCATCGCCACAATTTACGCAATGGAAGAGACTTGCGCGTAAAGCAATCGCGAGCTTGCGTGAGAAAGATTAGTCTTTACATTACATTTCTTCAATAACAACATTCAGTGGCATGGGAAGGTCGCTGTTTCCACGTGAATCATGGACGCGCCTAGCATTACATCACCTTGCGCCGAGCGACAACACCTACCTGACATCACGATGCACCTACGACGGAGAAAAGCTCACAAGTCCACCACGTAGCCAGCCTTCAAATGAAGACTCACCTTTCCGAAGCGCAAAAAGGACTCAAAGCTGCGGTCTCCTGTGAGCCCCACGAAAACAACTAGAAGAACAGCACCCTCCCCTCGGGGACAAGCAATACCCGCCGCTCTCGCTGAGAAAGAAAACAAAAACAACCTGGCGCTTCCCTCAGCGCCGTCCACTTGTCCTTGTCGTCTCCTCCAACACCCATCGGCGGCATCTTTGCATACCCCGCGTGGCCGTGGCCGTGGCCGTGGTCGTAACCGCCGGCGCCGTTGGTCCCCTGCACCCTGAGCCGCGGTGTGTGTGTTTACGTCCCCCTCTCTCCGACCACCTCGTCGCCTTCATAACTACTGCGTGCGCCCAACGCTCCATAATCCTGCTCGCCAGACTGATCAGCGGGTACTAAAGTGCGAGAGGAGGAAGGCGGGGTAAGGTCGGTAGCGGTAGTGGCAAGCTTCGTGGATGCGGAGGTGGAACCGGTCGAAGACGGTCTCATACGGCGGAGGCCAGTCGAGTTGCTGGTGCTGCTCCTCGTCATCATCTTCCATGCGTAGGGATCGTCTGTCGCTGGACGTCACGCGGGTCTAGATCCGGGACATTTGTCGCAAATGTCTTTGACGGATCCATAATTCTCTACAGGTAAAAGTCAACTGTGAAATACTCTGGATGTATTTGTCAATCCAATTGCTTCGGATTGGTGCGCGGCCAGCTTCGGATGTGTCATGACCTGACCACTTTTTGGCGTGGAAATCGCGGGGAAATGGAGCCCGGCTCTCTGGTGTTCCAGCGCTCGCGTGCGTGCGTGCGTGCGCCGTACGGGCTGGCGGGTTCCTTTCTTTTCGCTCGAGTCTGGAACTCTGGAGACGGGAACGTGGTAAACTGGAGACATAGCGAGATGAGATGCCGATGTGGAGATGTCCCGGGCTCGACTCCCAAAGTCCGTACGGAGTACGTAATGAGATGCCGGCAAAAGTGGTTTTGATCAAGTAATGGATGGAGTTCTTTTGCTGGAGTTCCCAAACTTCCAAGCCGTGGATTCGCGGGGAAAGTGGCTTCCGGGGTAAATAGACGAACTTTGCGTCAATTTGTCTTTTGTGCCGTTGCCGTGAAAAGCAACGTCCTCTCACATCTTTTGATATCGTCGCTGGCAGGGCCATGAGGACTCCCAAAGCGTCGCAACCACCAGCCAGGCCACGTTGCCTAAACAGGTAGCCTGGAATGAATAGCAACTGCATCATTCAACGTGGCCTGCTGCGAGATAGCGGCGCGGGAGGGGAATCAGCCTCCAACGTTGGCCCGTTGGGCTTATTGGCGACTGAACGAAATTGGTGACGCAAATCACACCCATCTTTGCGCCCGATACTAACTGACGCTTGCAGATAGATGAAATCCGGGCCCGATCCGTTCACAACGTGCCTCACCCTCATAGGCCGCCGATCATTGACGCAGACGCAGACGTTGCGGTGCTTGTCTCGGAGGAGTGCCACACATCGACGCTGGCTGGAGTCGAGTAGCAACCATCACCCGGCTATCTCATCTCGGTGGCTCGGTCAAACTCGACTTTTAGGCCTCTCCTCACGGAAAGCATCGAAAGTAACCTAGCCAAGACTAGGCCGGATGTGAATAGTCGATAACCAACGTCTTTCTGCGCCCTGCAGCCTCATAGGGCTTCGGAAATCATGCTAGACAACTTGTCCGACGGGGGGGGGGGAGAAGGAAGTTGGAAGGGGGCCTGGTCTCGACTATCTAGTCACACGCTCGGCGCGAGCGAGCATCGAGAGATAAGAAGCCGCCGCTATGCTACCGAATCGACCGGGAAGCAAGGCAAGGCCAGGAAGCGCATCGTCGGCCAAGCCGTCCTCCCTTCCCGCCGCCCTTCTGGCTGCGCTGCGGGCGTTCAGCCCTGGAAGAAATGAGCTTGCCAACCGGAAACCCTTCCTCCTCCAAGCCTAGAGTGTGTGCCTTATCAGTCTACAGCAGCCCTTGGCCATGCTACGGCGATCAATCAAACGGCCCCAAGCCTTCGGGGGAAAACCTGGACTGGCAGCGGCATTCCTTCTTCGTCATCGGCCTCCCGCAGACCGCAGGCCGCAGACGTACGGATAGGTAGCAAGGGCTTCATTGTCCAGGACCACGGTCGCCTCGCCTTCAGCTTCGATTTCGGAAGAGACTAGGCGATCGAGTTGATGTAATCTTGGCGCATGCGTAAAATGTCCGAAGCTGTCGCTTCTCCGCGCCCTGTTTTTCAGCTGGCGATGCTGATGTTGGTGTGCGGCAATAATAATGTCAACGACATATCAACGTCGTCTGATGGAGATGATGATTTCAAACAGGCAACAAGCCTTAGTTAATCAGACCAAATAAAGTAGCTCCTGCACAGACGTTGTTTGTGGTAAACTCAACCCCCGAATGCGAGTCCACGAGAATTGACTCGCGACAACTCCGAGTCGTTCGTTCGCTTCGGATGTCGATCAGTTCATGATAGGAACCAGCACGGATGAAAGGCGGCTGCTCTGCTGACAGTCGTCGACGCTGATTTCCGATATCAGCCAAACCCCGTCAGCCATGTGAGATTGTCCCACCATCAGAGGAAGAGTTGCCCAATTCGAAGCGGGTCGTCGAATCCGCTCTTTGCGATCTTCGGTCAGTCCGAATGCAGGAGACCCTCGTCTCGTCTTGTGTCCCACACACATATCCGTAGTGCTACAATTAAATTGGAGTCTGGAGAGATAAGAAGCGAGAGCAGAGGCCAACGTCAAACGCACGCCATTACGTACAAAATTCTTCTCGCGCACGAATGAGGGCCTCACTTGGCTTCCCCAGAGTATGCTAATCCATCACTGTGGATTGGATTGATGGTCCTGACACTGCCCACTCCCTCCACACCATGTTGTTGAGAGGAAGCGTGGGCCATGACACAGCGGCGTGGATGGCTTCACCACGCATCAGGTACAACGAGTGTCTTTGAGGAAGCCAGCGTGCCGCCAATTTCTACAAGACCAAGAAGACGTTGGTGGCATCTTTTTGGCAGTGCAGCGCCCCCTCGGCCCTAACCGAGGAATTGAGTTCCCTACCACTGTCACCTTGTCACGCCATCAAGCGCGCTCTAATCTTGGCCTCGTTCGCCAGGCTCAGGGGAGTGCGGTTACCGCGTGGCTGCAGCAGTCGGGATGGACCGTCGCCGCCTCGTCAAATCCGCCCATAAACTTTGCAGGGCAACAGAAGCGCTAATTTGTATCCGTAAGGTAGGTATTGACTGATGCAGCCAAGAAGGTATGGACAGGAGCCAGTTGCCGCTTCGAGGCCTCTTGACACGGAGCAATCTCGAATACGGGGCGTCTGCGACTGCCGCGCCGCTATTGTGGGTAATCTCTCATCATTACTGCCTGTCTCCTGGGGCTGGGAATGTTATGGTCACGTTGGCGCTGCAACCAGACGCGGACTATACTGCGAGTCCAATAGTTCGGCGAGATGTTCGGATGAGCTATTCACTTCATGTCGACCGCTAGAAAAGCTGCCTGCTCATCGACCGAGCTAAGGTGTTCCTTGAGATTTGTCCATGTTGGAGTCCAGACGAATTTCAACGAACTCGCAAGATGACTACTTACATAGTAGGCAAGGTTGGGTAGGTAAAGCTGTGCGAGATCCGGATGTGCTGAGTCGTGTACTCGTTGGTCCATGTCGCCATGCCAGGACACACTTTGAATCCCAGTCCGAATAGCGCCGATGGCGACCGGACGAATAGGTAGAATGTTGCCTACAGTTGCGTGAGAAATTCGCGCTTGCGGCTTGATCCTAGGGAATCCCCTCTCCCCTCTCTCCCCCTGACCGACACCGCACGCGCACTCACCTGGGTCAGCACACGCTCCTGGTTGTTTCCCCGAGTTCACCCAAGTCGGGTCCAGTTTAATTGGGGTTCTTCGAGCAAGGGTGCAAAGGTGGGCACGGCAGCCCAATGTTCGAACTGGATCCGCCTTTGTGTGGTGCTTCTGGGTCGCTACATAGATGATGGATCCATGATCCTGCGGCGTAGATAAGCATCCCGTTTCGAACTTCCACCTGTTTGATATCGGAGGTATAGATAACGAAGTAAATGACTTCATGTGCTGACTTTGAGGCTGCGACTCGCGGGAGTCTCAGCCAGAATCACAATGCCCCTCAGATTAACAAATCGAGATGCAGCGAAGCGTGTGAGTGACATTATTGGAGGGAGGGCCCGATGGAAGGACGCTAGAAGGTTGAGTAGAAGGTCTTGATCTGCCTGGCTATGCACCCAGGGGCAGCGATGCTGGGATTCGCATGTCACCCGCCGCCCAAAGGATGCTACTTACTGCAGCATTGCAGAATGGCGGTCGCAGGGGATGATAGGGCTTCGCCAATGGCTAGAGACCGAGATGATCGATATTCAGAGTCAAGCAGGATTATTGGAATTGGTGAAGCGGGGGTCACAGACATATGGTGCTGCCACCATCGATCATCCTGCGTGAGACACCAGAAGTTCTGCCACCCCCCATTTGCAGTCCACGAATGACCAGGTATTCGTGGTACTGTGAGACTACCGTAGAAAAAGTAAAGCACGTAAGTAATAAGGCAGGCAAGCAAAGCTGGCGCACTGATGGCTGGTTCGAAACGTGTCGGCCTATGGGATGAGCCGTGGGCACCATCAAACAGCTTATCGCATTGCCACCTGTCAGGTCGGTTGATGTTGGTTCCGAATGCGCCGCATCTCCATCGACAAGCAGCGGCACATCACCAGACGTAAAGGCGACATTCTGTCATCAACCCTGTCATCGAAGAGAAGCGGCCATTGTCCTCCACGCCTCTGTACCCGGGGAACTGGTAGGAACTCTGCCGGATGGGGGTTCTTCATAGACATGTCATGGACTGGTCAACCATATTACATTATAACCAGCTGTCGCAACCGGCACAGCCGCGCGATAGGGCCTACACCGGCGACGACGCGACGTTGTCGTGTGCTGCAGGGAGGAATGCGAACACCGGGAGCTCTCGACCAGGGGTGGGGGACCGATTCCGCCTGCTGCGTAAGGTGGTGATTCCCCAGTTGATTGCAGGAGGAGAAACTCTCCGTCCAACAACAACCTGGTATCGAAACCAAATGCAGTGCTTAACAAGCCGTATGCCCATGGGATCCCTCTATCGTTTTGCTTGCGCAAAGAGTGGCTCAAGATGATTTTCTCACTCGGAAAGAAGCCATGACGTTGTGTATCGGTATCTGTGGTGAACGATTGGCACCATCACAAGCCACCACGCGGCAGGACTGCTAGTGTAAAAAGAACGCTAAAGTCGAGACAGCGAGGTCAGACTTTGTGCCAGCCGCGGTCGTTGGCTCTGTTTGCTGCACGACGTCGGGGCTCTTCAGGGATGAGGGAAACCTGGGGCGGCCAAGATCAGCCCCCCCTGGTCCACCCACACCACATGCATTCTCGGACCAGCAAGTTGTGTGGCCGGAGTCTAGTTCTTGGCAACGCAAGCTCTTGAAAGGGAAGTTAGGGAACAGCCAGTTTCCGTGGATGCCGTGCCGAGAAGTGAAGCAAAAGCCGCTGCAACCCTAGCAAGAAGCCTGGTTGGACATCATTGGTGTGGCTTGCTTGCAGGATTTTCTTCCCGATGAGCCTCCTCGACTTCGACGATTTCCAGTAGGACAAAGCGACGGAACAGCAGCAGCAGCAGCAGCAGCAGCAGCAGCGACTCTGGTGTAGTAGTACCTACGCAGATTGCGATGCAGGCTAGCCTCCTGGCTTCGTCTCCAGTGTCGTGGACCTGGACCTCTGCGTGGGCCATCTCCCCTCACCGACCCGGGCCCAGAGATTCGTGCTCTCCACTCACATATGCCCCCCAGGGACCGAACCCAGTTCCACAGACAGGTTCGAGAGGAGGAGGGTCGGACTGGATCCTAAGATAACGTTGAGGAGACAGCGCGCCATGGGCGAAAGGAGGGGCGGCCACTTTTTCGAAGCCATTTGCTAACGGCTTCAAGTGACAAGTTGCCCATTGGCCAACCAGCACAGCCCACGCTATCTGGGGGCTCTCAGACTTTCTCAAATCGCCCGGCTGGGGCGTACGCATATGTCTCGGTACCACGGTGGAGAGCAAGGTGACATCCCATTGCTGTGGTTCTCGTTTCCCCCAGGTCACGGCCATTGGTGACTGGTCTCGTCCAAATCCATTTCGTTACGACTGCGACTGCGACTGCTTTCCCTTTCTTCGGCCGAATATGGGGTTGTACCCGCGCCTGGGTTCCTCGTTAGTGCATCATGCACATCGGAAAGCTGTCCGCGGCCAGCCCGCCTAACTCACCAGGTACATCGTCCTCAGCTAGCTGCCCAGCCAGTAGACTCGACGACGGGGAAGGTTTCGCTCGTTCCCGCTGGCCTGCCCTAGGACTTGGTACGTATCGAAGCACGACCGAAAGCCAAATCGCCTCCATCCCTCCCCCCAAATCGTATGCGACAAGTAACGGGGGTTGATGCTAGGATGGCCTGCCACAACCTGTCCTTGCCAAGATCTGCGTCTCTCGCCCGTCGAGAGGGGGGGCAAAGTTGGATAGACCAGCC